TCTTGTGGTCTGTACATCTTGGTTACAAAAAATACATGCCATTCTGAAATATGTGTGGACATAGAAACAAGAAAAGTTTGATTAAAGGGAATTTAACAACAGAGCCTTAGTTACTTCAGGTTCTGAGCTGTGCAGCAGACAGACTTGTTTTGCTTGTCTGCAAGAAACAAATAATGCACTCAGACTGACCCGGACTCAAATCAAAAACAGACACCATGATGACTGTGCTCCTTGTGCCAGACATAAACTAGAGCAAGAAAAATCATGACTAGTCAAAAAAGATTACAATATTGAAATGCATAAAGAAAGGGTATATTTATATGTTTACATGTGTGATGAGAAGTGCTTAGTGGCGTCTCATCTTGACTTTGCGTCCTGAGCTCTCCCGGGGTTTTTCGGAGTCTTGTCCACGTTTCCAGTAGTTCTCTGAGCTGATGCTGTGACGACGACTACGGGAGTTTGACGGATGTCTGTTCTCCTCTTTGTCCATCTCCAGTACCCTCGGCCTGATGAAGGACAAAGTTTGATATGCCAAGTCAGATTAGGTTCATCATTTCTCACCGCTTCATTATTGCAATGTGTTACCTTCAATATTCTTGTTTTTCCTTGCATTAGCAAAAATTAGCATCATTGCAAACATAGCAAAAATGAAATAAAACTAAAGTGTATAAAAAAAAATTCTGCAAGAATTCAAGGCAACACAGATGAGTACTGTTCATTTTGTGGTTGAACTATTTCTTTAAGCCCTTGTTAGACAAGCAATTTAAAAATATACTGGCTTCATCCATCTGCTAAAGCGATGTCTTTTTGTTATTCAGTCACAGGTCACTTTTAAGTGAGTGTTCCTCATGGCTTCGTTCAGACATGACAGTGCGCAAGGAAGTTAAAAAACTAATGATCGCTGGAAATAGGAGTCTCTTCATTTACAAGCTTCTTTACTGATGGATTTTTAATTATTTTGCCTTTGAAGTCTTAATTAATGATCATTTTGGGAATGAGGGACGCTCGTCCCCCCTTCTCACTGCGAATGCACTGATAATATCTCAGACGAATTCCCATTATTTAACGTTTTTAGAGCTGCAGGGTTCAAACAAGTCTGACGGAGCACGAGCCCAGATCCATGATCCGTTTGAGCCGTTTCCAAACTAAGTTCAGTAATAATGATTGGGGTCAGGGTTTCATTGTATTGCTGGGTCAGTATTCCAATATCAGTCTGGTACACCATTTTTGCAAGACATTTTGTTCCAAGATCCCTCTAAGCTTGTATCACTGACTGTCCTGAGGCCTCCTTCAGATCAAGTCTTCTTTGAAGTTTAGGCGAATCTAGCGGGACAGACCTGTGTGTGTGTGTGTGTGTGTGTGTGTGTGTGTGTGTGTGTGTGTACCTACCTGTGAGCAGCACTTGATGTTGCTCTGCGATGAGTGCGTTTGGCTTTCAGAGTGGGTCTCTCTGCAGGAGAAGCGCTGATAGGGCTGCCAGAGTCGACTCGAGGAGCGTCAGGTCTGGTCCTGGCAAACAGAAGGGGGAGGACAAGTAGAAACCCAATGATCAGTGCTGATTTCAAATAAGAGAATGACCTTTTAAATGATATGATGTTGACTCACTTTCTTAGGATGATCACCGCACGTCGCTCCTTGATGTCTTGGGGTCGGATGCAGTGGGTGATATCATCAGCTGCATAACCACTGAGAGAGAAATATGCTGTTAGCACCTGGACTTAGCCTTTCATTCAAAATATGTTATCAAACTTTCATACAATAATAAATGGACTCAACCTCTTCTTTACATTGTTGACTTATCATCTATAGCACTGGTGCAGGAATATTTTAAGTAAGCAAATTAAAGTACTGTTGTTTTATCCAACTTAAACTATTTGTGTATTGTTATTATTTAACAAAGTTCATAACCATTGACAAACTGGATTGGCAGGAGATTGCCTGTTAGCACATGAATGACTCTCCACCACTGTGCCAAATGTTCAATATTCATTCAAGTGCAATTGTTTGTTAAGAGACCTTGAGACAATTTTAGGAATTGCCTGGGGTTTATTTTTTTACTCTGCCTCGTTTATTTAGGATTTATTTGAATACTTAGATTTAAAATGTTTAAGTTAATTGCTCTTCCAAATGTAAACTCTGATTGTTACTGATACAGTTGGGTGTGTAGGATAATATAATACACTTGAATATAACTACTAGCTACTATGCATATACAGTCCAAGTAGTTATCGTGACTGCCTACACTTGGCAGACACACACTAAAGTAATGCAATCAGTGCATGACAGCCACACACAGCCATAGTCACCTGAGGACCGTGACACTCCCCCTCCTCACGGGCAGGACAAACACCGGCTCTGACACCCGGATGGGTTTGAACTGGAAGCGGCACCCGAAGCACAGCGCGCTGTCACTGAAGAAGGACACGGACACGATGGGTCGTGCAAAGATGTGCTGAGGATCCACGTGCGACACAATGCAGCCTCCTGGTTGATAATCATTGATGACTGCGCTGTTGACAAACCCTTCCGGGACCACTCCTCTGGACACCAGGCGCTTGATCACCAGGTCGTGCACCCAGCTCGGGATCTCGTCCACCTCTCCTTTGCGGTACAGCTTCTCCTGGCCCGGGCCACGCTTCTCCAGCTGCGATCCGTAAGTGTAGCCCTCCCCGAAGAAGTACTTGTTACGGAGGGGCGCCCGGTCCACGGTGTGCTCCCGGTAAAGTCCAGCCTCTCCTCTGGTCACCACGTCGTCGATCTTCTCCTCGATGAGGGCGCACTCCTCCGGGCTGAATATGCTCTCCTGCAGGATGCTGCTCTTCACTCGGCTGGCCTCCTGCTCCATGTTCTCCGCGCAGTCATCGCTGTGCTCAAACTCATCGTCGTCGGACTCTCGGATCTTACGTTTTCGAGCTTTCCCACTGCTGCCATTACTCATCCCGTCCACGAATTTATTATTGATCTCCTCCCTGTGTGGGGTCATGGATTTCAGCTTCTCCCTCAGGTCAGAGTACCCGCTGGATGCCATGTCAGCCACAACTATGTGACTGCTGTAGTGCGACGTGAGCTGCTAGCTAACAGTTAGCATATATCAGCGCTGCATGTCAGCACTGCTTTAACAGTCAATATGGATGTAAAAAGGAGTCAAATGTGGTGTATGTCACTCGCTTTAGGGGACCTGTCCACAGCAGTAGCTAGCATTAGCTTCCCCCGACGTCCTGCGTGCACACTCAAGCAGCCTGGTAATGAATCCTTAGATTATATTACAGTTTACAACCTGTAAATAAACGCTGCTTGGATACTGCAACACGCCCAGCAAGCAGAGAGGTTAACGATAGATATCCGAGCTGCTTGGCTGGCAGCTAAGCTAGCTTAAACTAGCCTGGCTTGGTCTGTCCGTCGCCGCCTGGAAAAACCGACAAACCACGCAGCAACATGTCACCGTTAAATGTCCAAACTTCGGTGCTCCAGGCACTTTTCCTCTTAGGGTTTAATGCCAAAAGTCCACGGAGATCATTGTAATAAAGCACAAGACTTCACCACGCTCAGTTTACACCATCGGCTCCAAGAAAAAGGCTGAAAATAAACTCGTGTAACTAACCTGCTACAGTTTCCGCGCATGCGCTGTGGTGACCTGCCAGTTTGGAAAGACTGTCACGTGCCTTGAGCGGAACCACGTAAATCCATTTTAGGAGCCTTGAGGGCACGCACAAGACGAGAGCTAATTGTGTCCCACTGCCCTTTTGTCTACCTCTATAAAGATCACATTGTTCATTTCAGTTTGTTATAGTGTTGTTATATTGTTTGTCAGCAATACAATATACATTTGTCATATATTCATTTTTTAGTTTCTTTTATATATTTATATTTTGTGAAAGTACTTGCCTTTATTCTTTTTTTAATGTTAAATAGTTAAACAATATATTCCTTTATAATAGTTATAGTTTTGACCTTATTTTACTACTTATTTTCTTATGTTTTGTATGTTTGCACCATCATACACCAAAGAAAATTCCTTTTGTAAATGTATTTGGCAATAAACTTGATTCAGATATTGATGGGTTATTGAACGGCACATGAGCTGTGGGGTCAAGGGCTCCTATTATTTCATTAAATGAACATATCGATTTTCTAGGGACCAACTTATTGGTAATCTATTATTTAAATGCACTAGTTTCTGGCATTAGTATTAAATAACCAGTCAGGCCAGAAGTTCTCATAATGCTCTCTTTAAAATAGCTTGTTTTATTTTAATAAAATATTCTTTACAAAACAAGAAAGTTGATGCATTAGTGTTCGTTAAAAACAACAATGGTTTACACCAAGATCAAGTTTTACAGTAACAATACAAAAATAAAAAACATGTTACATATCAGTTTAAAAACATTGTAATGACAAGCCACAGGCCTGTTAAACTTCACCACTGTTCTTTACTAGTATCTGTACACTTTAAAACTAGTAATTCACTGATGCAATGTGTTCAGTTAATGTTGTCAAGTAAAAGGGAAACTGGCTTCAGGGTACAATTATGCATGATTCATATCAAATTAAAACACCTGAAGGCAAGAAGAGGTAGGCTCTTAATAACGGTTTTGTCCATGTGTTCATGCAAATGTGCAGTGGTGGAAGATGTACTTAATAATAAATGAATAATAAATGATATTTATATAGCGATCAGACAATCAACGGGCAAACCAAATAAATAAATAAAGGAAGCCGGGGGACCAGAAAAGGGCTAGGGCCCGAAGGCCAGGGTGAACAGGTGTGTTTTTAGTGATGATTTGAAGATGTCCAGGGAGGCAGCATTACGGATCTCGGCAGGAAGTGCATTCCAGAGGGTGGGGGCTGCAACACTGAATGCCCTGTCACCAACAGTTCGGAGGCGAGAGCGGGGGATGGAGAGCAGGCCCGTGTCTGAGGATCCCAGACTCCGAGAAGGGGTGTAGGGATGGAGGAGGTCTGATAAGTACTGGGGGGCGAGGGAATGGAGGGACTTGTACGTGAGGATGAGTGTTTTGTATTGAATCCAGGACTTGACCGGCAGCCAATGTAGGTGGATGAGGGTGGGGTTGATATGGTGCCATGGCTTGGTGTGGGTGAGAAGCCTGGCGGCAGAGTTCTGGACGTACTTAGGTCTTTAATTAAAAGTAGCAATATCACATTGTAGAAGTACTCAGTTACAAGTAAAAGTCCTGCATTAAAAATCGTACTTAAATCGAAGTACAAAGGTTTTTGCATAAAAAATAAATATTGAATCATATTTATTGATGCATTTCTGTGTAGATCTTTAATGTTGCATCTTGGGCTATTTTGTACTGTAAAAGCTGCTTGGTTTAATTTCCTCCTTAATGCAAATCTTATTTTCGTATCTGGTCATATGTTGTTTGATTAATTTGAACCTATAAAGTTATCAAAAAATTGAAATACTCAAGTACCTCCAAAAAATACTGTTCTTGAGTAAATGTACTTTCCACCACTGCATGTGCGTACAATGAAGAAAGTGTTATAACAATAGTATAAAACGGGTTATAACATGGTGATCTCGCTGGTAGGCAGGATGAGTCTCCTCTCGCGCGCAGACAGCATGTTTTCCACCTGCATGGCGATGACTCGACACAACTCCAGGCCCTGCGGACAGACATGAGCACAGTGACAAAGCAACTCCACTGAAATGAACATGAAGAGTGTCCTTGTGTGTGTTTGCACAATACCTGCTCCAGCTGCAGCTGAACGACCCGCTGTGTGTTAGTGTCCCCCAGCGTGAGATCTACATACGGGTAACTGGAACCAGCAGTGGGCCTCTGGGTGCGGCTCGACTGCACCTCCACCAGGGGGACCATTGCCATCAGCTCCTGCACCATAGGGACCAAACATTATAACCTTCACAACTCTCTGCTGAAACTACATGACCAGTGGTGGAATAATTATTCAGATCTTTTACTAAGTACAATTAAAAATAGTAATCGTATATTTAAAAAGCATTATGTTAATGTTATGTAACTAAAGGACTCTTGACTCAATTGAAAGTATAAATGTATTAGCCTCAAAATATACAAAACTACTCATTATGCAGAATCATATTTATTATAATTATTTATGAATTAAAGTGTGAGCTGATTTAAATGACTATACTGCAGGGAAGTAAATCATATTTGATTAGTTAAAAAGTAAGATATTTCCTCTGTAGTAACAAGTAAGATATTTCCTCTGTAGTGCAGTAGTAGTATTAAGTAAAATGAACTGGAAATACTCAAGTATAAGTACCACACAATAACAATTAAGTAGTAACTTTCCACCACCGTCCGTACGTGACTTCACTTCTGGGCTCATGTTTTGATCACGATGAGCTGAGTCATGCGAGGGCTTGATGATCGCCTGTGTGTGTGTGTGTGTGTGTGTGTGTGTGTGTGTGTGTGTGTGTGTGTGTGTGTGTGTGTGTGTGTGTGTGTGTGTGTGTGGTTCCTTACGTGTGTGTTTTTGTGCAGGAAGTGGAAGCCATGTTGATTGACAGCTACAATGCAGGGGGCGTAGAAGGTTGTGGAGCTGCTGCTGTGGATGTAGAAGAACGAGGAGCTGAACATGGGGAATGCACTGATCAGCCCTGCAAGCACAGAGAACAGAATTTAACAAATGAGGGATTAGACATTGTAGTCTCTAGGGAACACATGGAAAGACAAACAATCACCTTATTTAAAAGGGACACCTCACAGATTTTAGTTCAATTTATTCATTATGAGGAGTCCAAACCAGACTGTGAGAATGAACATTGTCCAGTCTAAACAGAGTTACTCTCGGGAAGTTACTAGGGGGAATCTCGGCTTGTGTTTGGATACAACACATTTTCACACATGAGCTGCTTTATGGAAAACATAGGATATATTATCTTTTAGCTATAACCCATACTAGAGTCTAAAAGTAAAACAAATCTTGGCGTCTGCTGCTTTGAGTTTTCTTAATCTGTCTCCAAACATTACACAGGAAAACTAAATCACTGTAGTATATCATTAAAGAGAAAATGGCCACTATATGTGTATGTCCAATTAGTATTAGTAAATGTCGTAATTTAAAGCAACATTCTGCCTCAGTTTGTGAGAAAGCTGAGTTCCCTTGCTCCCAAATGCCTGATGCAGGAAGAAAAACAGATAATGAAGACAAGATCAGCTTTCTGACTCCATAAAACCCCCATTGAGGAATGTACTGCTCATATCGTCTACAAACACCATCAACACTGATTGGACATCCCTTCAAGAGGGGGTACATTTTCCCTTTAAGGAACAAATACTTCCTGTGTTAAACCCAATTTATTAAAAAAGGTATTCTAAATTAAGATTACTATTCCTGTCGATATGAAGATTAATTAAATATTTAACCGCGCTCAACATTTATTTCTTGACAATTTCAACTCAAGGTCTAGAAATGTACACGTGCAGTGACAAAGGAGGTAGTTACACATATGTGGAGAACATGTAAAAAAATTACCAAAGACTGAGTTTTTCCAATTTAACGTGAAGCGGAGATCTTACCCATAAACTGCGCTCTGGCCTGGTGCGGGTTCAGGGCCTGCACCTGCTGCATGTGCTGCGTCACCATGGTAACCCACTGCTGGGGTGGCTGCTTTTTGAACAGAGGTGGAGCGATGTACTCCGATAGTTCATGTCTGGAGGAGAGAAGAAGATAAACAAGAGTCTGCTCCACTCAGTGATTTCTAAACATTTCTCAGGATGGTTTTACTCACTGAGCTGTTTCTGTTCTGCTGTCGGGTGTGTGTGTGTGTGTGTGTGTGTGTGTGTGTGTGTGTGTGTGTGTGTGTGTGTGTGTGTGTATGTGTGTGTGTGTGTGTGTGTGTGTGTGTGTGTGTAGTGATAACAGCAAGAGTTTTCACAGCTGAGAAAAATAATGTATCACACACTTTAAACACCTAAACTACTGACTGCACTGTGTTCTCTCTTCAACCGTGAGTTTCTTAAACCAGACCCACACTGCACAATGTTTTACTTTTAAGACAGTGATAGGATTATGGGATGGAGAAAAATAGTTTCCTTTCAGACCAAATATTAATTTGGCTAAATGTATATTTCCACAAGTGCGTTTAAACAAATACAGTAAATAAAATGTGATCTAAAAACGTTTCTATTTGGAAAGGCTTTTGGAAATGTTAGATATATATTTGTTATACAATACTGTTTTCATTTATATTTATTTGAGCTTAATAATTTTATTTTATTTATTTCTGTTTGTGCCTTTGGCCTTACCCTCATTGGTTCTACCTTTAATAGGGTTTCCTTTCTTTTGTACATTAATTTGTTACTGTTATATTGTTCTTGAGGTATGTAAATTATCCCTGTTCTTCTCTATATTAAGACCACTTTTCATTAAAGTCCTTTTAATGATAGCAGTTTGTTTTCTGCACCCTAAACTGTAAAGAAATAAAGAGGAATAAGACTTTTTTTCCCCTTTATGACTGAAACTCGAGGCTGTATTGTCAAACTTTGCTGGTTTCTTACATGGTGGGGACGAAGAGGATGTCTTTGGCTCTGTGCTGAAGAGCTGCCAGTTTGGAGATCTGATGAAACTGTTGATCGCTCACTTTCCCATGTGGAAGAATATTTAGCAGGCCTTTACGGTAATCTGGCAGGATCTGGATATACACACAAACACAGTTACATACACACATGTAGGTAACATATACTGCATGTATGTAAAGTTTCACTAATGGTACCTGGTTATAGTGCATGGCGACGCAGAGCTCGTTCTCAAACTTGAGCGGCTGAGTCCAGACGACTCGTCTGAACCAGAAGCTGTAGCTCGTGTCCACCAACTCCGCCTCTGTCGCAACGTCCAGGATGTACTCGTGTTTGTTCAGGGGACGCACATTCTGACCTGGACACACACACACACACACACACACACACACACACACACACACACACACACACACACACACACACACACACACACACACACACACACACACACACACACACACACACACACACACACACGTACAATTATTTATAACACAGAGATATTCTTATTCATCTAAAGAATAGCATTGACTACTATACAAATTATATTCGATGGAACAATTTGGTTATCTTGCAAACTCTAGATAAATAAAAACGACTGACATGACTACCCTGACATGTCTTGATGAATGGAGGAAATGGGGGGGCCAGGTTTAAAGGCAAACGTCCTGTTCATCCAGTTGTATGTTCCCAAACACACTTTTTAACCCTTGCATGGTCGATTTGCTAGTCTGGGAAAGCACGACACTGTTACATTTGAAGTGTTTTACCGTAGAGGCCCTGGGAAAATAGTGGTTCCTTCAAATATACGATGTATGGGGTGAGTAATTTACATACAAATGGCTGAAGCAGCAAAGGAAATGAAAAACTTGTACATTAAACAAGTGACATAAAAAATCTCCATCAGAAAAAAAAAGGAAAAACCACAATTCTAGTTTCTTATACTGTAAAATGTTTATTATGTTGTGTTTGTAACTATGTATGAATTAACTACTTGGATAAATGATTGACAATTGGAGCATCATATTTTTTAATAAAACTATACAGATAAACAGCGTGCAAACAAAAGGTATCCTAACGTCTTAATAAATAATAAAGAGGGAAATGTGTACTGGCCTGTTATTGGCAGTCTTGTGACATCGGAAATGAAAGATGATATCGAGCATTTCTCGTTATATTGCCATGACAGCCCGATCAGGACTCGTGAACATGAATGAGTTTCTCCCACAGAAACCAGAGGATAGTCTGACATGTGATCTGTGAGTGGATCCGCTTCACTGACAGTGACGAGGAGATTGACTTTGTGCACCAATACAATATTTAGTGTGTGTGTGAGAGAGAGAGAGAGAGAGAGAGAGAGAGAGAGAGAGAGAGAGAGAGAGAGAGAGAGAGAGAGAGAGAGAGAGAGGCAGGCCTCTGTGAGCAAACCTCTGTTGGTGACTAGAAATATGGCATATTCCTCCATGGCCTCCAGTTTGTGTAAACCCATCTCATAACACAGCTCCTCAATCACCTCCAGAGCAACCTGGAAACACAACACACACACACACACACACACACACACACACACACACACACACACACACACACACACACACACACACACACACACACACACACACACACACACACACACACACACACACACACACACACATTACATTACGGCTGTCTCCTTTAGATTGCAGTCGTGATGAAAGAATATAGTGTGTATGAACACTTACAGAACACGTTTTGATTTTCACGTGACGTTCAATGCCTCCAGGAAATAGAAACAGCTGACGTTTTGAACTACGTCCGGCCTGAGAAAAAAGACAAACACCCTCATATACTACAGTGTGTGCTGCACATAACACTGGACATGTTGGTATATGGCTGATTTATTTAGGACCTTAAACCACAGAAAACTGCATATAAATAATAATTAATATAAAATATAATAAAACTATTATTTTTACACCCTTGAAGAGGCCCAAATGTAACAATACAGCTACCATTTTCTAATGTATATATTTTGATTATTAAAATATGTTTGAGATAGCAATAATTGTCAAACATTACAATAAATGTTAAATCTTAATCTAAATGATTCATCTAAATATGTAATCCAGATCTAAATAGCAAATCCAAATGTTGAATCTGTATCTATATATTCAATTAATATCTTAATGCTGATACTAAAACTAAATATGAAATCCAAGTCAACATTTTAAGCCAAATGTTGATATGGAATCTAAATATAAGTAAAAAGTATTACTCTAACGATCAAATAAAAATGTAAATATATATATATCTACATATTGTTTACAATTATATATAACAGTTATTTTACGTACATTTCTGGCTCACATACATGAGGAAAGGGAGGTTTATATTCAATATATGTCAGTTAAAATAGTAAATAGTAAATTAGACAGATGTTTACACCACTGCAGGTAAATAAAAGCGGCCCTGACCATCACCGCCTTCAGCTCCATGCTGTTGGGAGGAACGACACGGCCGCCGTACTGAAACGTCTTCTTCAGGTTCTGCTCACATGCTTTAGCGATGCCTAACAAATTTACAAATTAAAAAGAAAACATTATATCCTGCTGTTTGTGGCAATGTGTACAGCATTATGATGCGCGTGTGTTTTACCCTGATACTGCACCCCTGCGCTGCGGGACGCCTGATGCAGGTTCTTCAGCAGGAAGGGCTTGAGGACCTCAGAGCAGCGATGGAAGGCGGCCAGGATGTACAGCAGCCTCCAGCCTCGTTGGCAACTATCACTGAACAACACAAGGGTGAACACACACACACACACACACACACACACACACACACACACACACACACACACACACACCACACACACAACACACACACACACACACACACACACACACACACACACACACACACACACACACACACACACACACACACACACACACACACTCAGGATTACACGCTCGGTTAAGAAAGAGGAGCACAGTGTGTGGGTTGGTTTATGTGTGTATGTTGCTGATGTGGGAAACTCACGGTTTGGAGCTGGTGTTAGCCGTAAGCTGTTTGAGGAGTTGGCAATAAGCCTCATCCCGCATCAAGGTGAACTCTCCTATGAGCTGAGGGGGGTGGGGGGGCGGACACACAGCAGGGTTATCATCGTCAAATTAAACTCGGGAAAAATATTCTAACGGCAAAAAAAAGTTGCATGGTTTAAAATAAATAATAAATGTATTTGTTTCAGGTAATTCGCAGTTGTAATATGTCACTACAGAAAAAAAGCAGACAGCATGAGTTGCTGTAACCTCTTGACTTTGAAACACAGAAATTGACTTCACATTCCAGGAGATGGCGCTGTGCAGCAGTTGCTTCACAATTAATCACTGCTGTTGTTCACATAAGAGTCCATACTTGTTGAATCAAATAAGAAATGAAATACATAGAAGTACAAATACAATTAAATATTGTAGTAGATTAAATGCCTTTTAACGAAGCTGACGAAGTACGAACTAAGTTTTCTTTTCCAGTAACAAAAAAACAATAAAGATAAATATAAAAAAACTAAAGTTGAATCTTTCTGTATAAGCTACAAATAAAAATGTTAAATGAATTCCCAAATTAAAAACGAATGTAAGTATTAATATAAATAAATAAAGTAATTTAAAAATGTAAATAGTAGCTTAAGAAAAACAAGTGTGTATTTACCTTGAGGAAAGTAGTGATCACTTCCTGTTCTGTCGATCCTCTTGAGGGAGCGTCACCCATGAAACGCATCACCGCTACACAGAGACACACTCAGGTCAACAATATTTAAATCTCCAATAGCAGATTCCAGAGAAATCAAGCACTTGAGTTAATCCGATACAGGAACATCTCATTTTGACAAAGGATGAATCAGGTGTAAGAGTAATGTAATAAGAGGATGTAATTAGAGGAGAGAAGGTGAGAGCTTACACAGGAAGAGGTCAGCTGCCACCCTGTTCATGGCCATGTCCGTAAACTCTATCAGAGACTCGGTCAGAGGAGTCTGCAAAGATCAAATAATACAGGAAATGTGTAATGTAATGTGCACAATTCAATACACCAAAGAAAACACAAATTATGAAAACATGGGCTAACATGCTTTGAGCAAGAAGGAAAGCACCTTGGAGAACTTGATCATTTCAGTCGGCTCTCTGGAGTCTCTGTTCTTGCTTTTGCCCTTCATGGAATCTCTGAAAACACAAATGCAGATTAAACAGGCTCACAGAAAAAGCAATAGTAGCAAAACCATGCTTGAAAAAATACTGTATTACTAGTAAAAGTACTAGTAAGACTTATTATGCAGAATGGTAACAAACAACAACACCTTAATCTTTCAGTTTTCTAAGGTTGAGCTTTTGATGCTGTTTAGTATCTTATCTTAGAAACTAATAATGATATGTATATCAATTGTTTGTAAATATAGCTGCTTATTGTATGTAGTGAAGAAAAAAAAATGTCTCAAAAAAATGAACTTCAAAAGTATACTTAAGCGCAGAACTTGAGAAAAAGGCCACTTTCTAGAGCGTTGAGGCACTCTCTTATTCTGTGTGTTTGTGAGGATTTCAGTGTGTGTGTGCACATTTTCTTTCTGGGTCTCACCCCTTCATGTTGTTTCCCTGTCTGAAGTACTTCTTGGCGAACTCCAACATGTCATATTTAGTGTCCTGAAGAGTCCTCTCATTCAGATCTCCTTCAGCAAAGCCGTCAAGGGAAACCTTCTGAAAATCAGAGATTGACAGTGAAAAACATCCGACACTCAGATCAGTGTTGCAGACAGAAAAAAAACATGTGTGTGTGTGTGTACCTCAATCGTTTGATCTATCTCGTGTGCAGCCATGGTGGATGCCACGGCAACTGCGACTGCTGATGATACATTAAACTGGCCTGCTCCTCCTCGAGGCTCGGACTTGCGGTCCAGCGGCAGCGACAGGAAGTCAGGAGGAGCGACGGCATGGACACACTCGGCTGGGAACGCTCCAGAGCGGCCGAACACAGCACCAAACTTCCAACCTGACACACACACGCACGCACGCACGCACGCACGCACGCACGCACGCACGCACGCACACACACACACACACACACACAACACACACACACACACACACACACACACACACACACACACACACACACACACACACACACACACACACACACACACACACACACACACACACACACACACACACACACACACACACACAGAGCCGAGAGATTAAAACCACTCATTAAAAGCAAACAGTCCTGAGTGCTTTGTGACACTGAACAAGCCTCCTTTCTGCAGCGGTCCTGATCCCTATCTGCTTTTCCTCTAACAGCAGGTCAGCCTTTCATTTACACAAGTCAGATCTGTATCTGCATGCTTTTCCCTCTTATTTACCAGACTTAACTCTCCCCTCATGGCCACGCTGATAACCTGGCACAAAATGCAGCTTTTGGTCTAATTATAGATACTATACACCTGGATACTTGTGTCACTTGTGAGGACATCATATTGACTTACATTAAAACCCTGCATTGTTTCCTAACCTTACATGCCTGAACCCAACACCTTCACTTAATTGTATATATATTTTGTTAACCCTAAAATCTAAACTCCAAAGCTGTATCTCTGAAAGCTTTGCTCATCAGGATCATCTTTATTTGGCAAGTAAGTGTGTACACATGCAAGGTATTGGACTCCAGATTTCGGTTGCTTTCACTGTATATACACAGAAATAGACATACAGCTGTTACAAGGAGAATAAAACTGAAACATTTGACTTCTATGTTCAATTAGAAAATAATGATAGGAGTAAAAAGATTAGGGGCGTTGCAATATACCAGTATTAACAATACCAGATGTACGTTCTCCTTTCATATGATGTTAACATGTAGTGATTTACTGGAATCCTAACAAGGTTTTTAAGGGTGGTTTGGGGTCCAAATAGTCAGAGTCCAAATGAAAAATAGATGCAGGGAAAATTACAAAAATCTATGTGAAAGCACACACTGAGTTTGTCCTATCAGGTATCTGTGAAGCGATGTAAAATATGACTACTGCTCATCAGTGATCTTATTTCAGCTTTTGTGTCCTCAGGAAATAAATCAATATTTTTCAAATTGCATCACCGTCTTCCCTCTGAAAAAGAAATCTGAAACAACACTGCATTTATAGTGTGCTGTCACTGCACCTATTTCTCCTTGGCTTATGATAGCATCACACCTCCAGGGGACAGTCCAGGATAGTTCATCTATCGAAGCTGTCAGTGTGAATTGATTCTTTGTTTATATTTATCCTTGGCCATGGCACTAGCATCTGGCTACCAAATACAAGGAGGTGAAGCTTATAGACCTGGTTTTGTTTTATACTAAAATAAAGGTATTTATGAACACTCACCAAAGTCTTGAGTTTCTCTTTTCAGCTCCTCCAAAAACACCACCTTCTTCCTCACCACACAGCCATAGTTGTAACCTGAGGGATACACACATAAACACACGCTCGGATCATAGATTCATTTATAAGATAACATTTTTCTACTACATGTAGCAGAGTTTCTCACCCTTCTCCAGCCCGTCCATAACCTGCAGCCTGATGATGTCACCTTTGTGAAAACTGAGCATCGAGCGGTCGTCTGTCACAAAGTTTCGCTCTGCGATCACATAATCTGAGTCCTACTTGGGAAAAACACACAAATGCATACTCTTACATTGTCATTGTATTGTTATTTGCATTTTCATTACTTTTGGTTATTCCAGTATTTATTTAAATTGAGCATACTGAAGAGTGTGTGCTGTACCTTTTTGATCTCATTGATGAAGGTGTCTATGAGATGTTTGACTTGCGGAGCCTTGGCTGAGAACAGGATCAGTTTCTCGTTGGTCAGATTAAACTCCAGCATGTTCTCAGAGGGGATGGTTACAAACAGGATGTCTGCATAGCTGAAATAAATACAGTGCAGAATGTAATATTATTATAAAATCCGTAAGATATACAGCATACACTTCCAACTCTTTTTTTTTTTTACTTTTAAAAAGTGAATTGGCCTTTGTTCCACTATTTAAAAAATAAATAAAATTATTATTTCAGTATATGATTCATCAACTATTTGTATTAAAATATGAACATATATTTTTTAGTCATCGTTTTTCAACTTCTTCATATTTAACTAAGTCCATTCACATTATACTAGACATCTTGACCATTTTCCCCTTCCATACTAAACAAAATATGTTACCAAGATATATAATAATGTACTGTCAGGTTATTATATAGCCTGAAAAAGCCAAATCTGAATCTAAATATTTAGAAAATAAGAAAAAGTTAAGATAATCAGAGGCAATTTGGTATTATTGTCTGTGAAACCTGACACCGAGTTTAAAACAGGAATATCTGGAACATCAAACAACATTAAACAAAGGTCAATAGACCTAAGAAACAGGACATACGTGTATGGTCGTAAGACTCTGAAGTAGTCTGGAGCTGCAGCGCTGCTTTTTACGGTCTTCAACAGCTTTATACCGCTGTGGGACACGGACAACACCTGCACACCTGTTCCCACACTGCCCTGTACGTACACACACACACACACACACACACACACACACACACACACACACACACACACACACACACACACACACACACACACACACACACACACACACACACACACCACACACACACACACACACCACACAGTTGAGGATCAATACAAACTCACAAACACAATCAATAATATTTTCCTCTCAGGGTTGACCATCCTTACCGACGCAGGGAACAGACGGGAGAAGTAAATTTCCCAGGTTTCCCTGGCAGCCGTGACGATAGTTTTCTTCACGTGCTCCTCCACAGGATCCATATTCTGTTCAACCGCGTGTTTAGCTGTCATTCACACAAACAGACACACATGAATGTCAACACACAAATACACTGAACAAAAATATAAATGCAACACTTTTGTTTTTGCTCCCATTTTTCATGAGATGAACTCAAAGATCTAAAACATTTTCTATATACACAAAATAACCATTTCTCTCAAATATTGTTCACAAATCTGAAAAAATCTGTGATAGTGAGCACTTCTCCTTTGCCGAGATAATCCATCCCACCTCACAGGTGTGGCATATCAAGATGCTGATTAGACAGCATGATTATTGCACAGGTGTGCCTTAGGCTGGCCACAATAAAAGGCCACTCTAAAACGTGCAGTTTTATCACACAGCACAATGCCACAGATGTCGCACGTTTTGAGGGAGCGTGCAATTGGCATACTGACAGCAGGAATGTCCACCAGAGCTGTTGCCCGTGAATTGAATGTTCATTTCTCTACCATAAGCCGTCTCCAAAGGCGTTTCAGAGAATTTGGCAGTACATCCAACCGGCCTCACAACCGCAGACCACGTGTAACCACACCAGCCCAGGACCTCCACATCCAGCATGTTCTCCTCCAAGATCGTCTGAGACCAGCCACTCGGACAGCTGCTGCAACAATCGCTTTGCATAACCAAAGAATTTCTGCACAAACTGTCAGAAACCGTCTCAGGGAAGCTCATCTGCATGCTCGTCGTCCTCATCGGGGTCTCGACCTGACTCCGGTTCGTCGTCGTAACCGACTTGAGTGGGCAAATGCTCACATTCGATGGCGTCTGGCACGTTGGAGAGGTGTTCTCTTCACGGATGAATCCCGGTTTTCACTGTTCAGGGCAGATGGCAGACAGCGTGTGTGGCGTTGTGTGGGTGAGCGGTTTTCTGATGTCAATGTTGTGAATCGAGTGGCCCATGGTGGTGGTGGGGTTATGGTATGGGCAGGCGTATGTTATGGACGACGAACACAGGTGCATTTTATTGATGGCATTGTGAATGCACAGAGATACCGTGACGAGATTCTGAGGCCCATTGTTGTGCCATTCATCCACGACCATCACCTCATGTTGCAGCATGATAATGCACGGCCCCATGTTGCAAGGATCTGTACACAATTCCTGGAGGCTGAAAACATCCCAGTTCTTGCATGGCCAGCATACTCACCGGACATGTCACCCATTGAGCATGTTTGGGATGCTCTGGATCGGCGTATACAACAGCGTGTTCCAGTTCCTGCCAATATCCAGCAACTTGGCACAGCCATTGAAGAGGAGTGGACCAACATTCCACAGGCCACAATCAACAACCTGATCAACTCTATGCGAAGGAGATGTGTTGCACTGCGTGAAGCAAATGGTGGTCACACCAGATACTGACTGGTTTTCGGACCCCCCCAGACCCCCCCAATAAAGCAAAACTGCACGTTTCAGAGTGGCCTTTTATTGTGGCCAGCCTAAGGCACACCTGTGCAATAATCATGCTGTCTAATCAGCATCTTGATATGCCACACCTGTGAGGTGGGATGGATTATCTCGGCAAAGGAGAAGTGCTCACTATCACAGATTTTTTCAGATTTGTGAACAATATTTGAGAGAAATGGTTATTTTGTGTATATAGAAAATGTTTTAGATCTTTGAGTTCATCTCATGAAAAATGGGAGCAAAAACAAAAGTGTTGCATTTATATTTTTGTTCAGTGTATGTTAGAGGAATAAGGTCTAAAGAAATGTCTGCAGGAAGAACAGACGGATTACCGAAAAGGCCCTTCATTTTCTGCCTTTCATCCCGCGTGATGCGAACACAGGCCTCTGACAGAGTGTCGTTCACGATCTGCACCAAACAACAGAGGACACGAGAGAGGATGTGAGAAATAACTAACATTGATATTTCTATGATTTCTGTGTTGTCAGGTCAAAATCCCGAACACAATTGGTGAGAGGTGAAAACAATGGTGAATGACAAATACAAGTATTCGATTACATGAACATTAAAAGAGATGCACTTTTCTTCCATTCACTCTTCAACTGTTACCTGTTTGAAAATGAGATCCAGCACCAGAGGATTGTTGAAGCTGTCTTTCGGATAAAAAACCTGTAAAAGCAAGTAAAATATTCACAATAGTAAAGAATACAGACATTGTGAGAGCTGTTCATGATATGTGTGTAGTTGCATACACACCTCCTTCCTGAGGTACAGCCTCCAGGGAACGTTGGTGTAGGTGTAGTGCTCCTCATTGGTGCTCTGATGAAGTTGTGTCTGGATAGTCTCAATCTCTACCGGAAGCTCTCGAGAAACTGCTCAAAATAAATCACTTTACTTTTTAGTTTCCCCCAATTTGATGTCCTTATTTTTTTTAATATATTTACTAAGTGTGCATGTTAATGATTAAATCTGCACTGAATGATTTGAAGCATCATTTAGAACGTTTACATTCAGATGCTGCACATGTTGTTAATTTCCTTTGCATATCTATAAACATCTATGGAAACATGCACCCACAAGTTACTTTCATTAAGTAAAGTTGATTTAATTAAAGAGACTAACTCACTTAAACTGCATATTATGGGATGTGGCTTAGCCTTTCCCCCTCACATGCAATACGAGGACAACGCTACTGGCAGTTATTACATTCATTCTAGTGCAATAATTACATTCATTCTAGTGCAATAATTACATTCATTCTAGTGCAATAATTACATTCATACTAGTGCAATAATTACATTCATACTAGTGCAATAATTACATTCATACTAGTGCAATAATTACATTCATACTAGTGCAATAATTACATTCATACTAGTGCAATAATTACATTCATACTAGTGCAATAATTACATTCATACTAGTGCAATAATTACATTCATACTAGTGCAATAATTACATGTATTCCAGCGTAATATTTGAATGTATTTATAGTACAATCAGTGTTCTTATTTTAGTGCAAAATGACATGGTATTTATTTTATTTATTATGTTAGAACCTGTTCTGTACAATTGCAATAAAGCCTTTCTTTTTTTCTTAAATCTACATGACTCAAGCATATACACAGGTACCTACAGTATAACTCTGTAAAGTAATATGTGGATGTGTACTTTGAGTGAGTGTGAGTACCTGGAGGAGGAAGGGGGAGAAGACGTTGAGGTGCTCTTGTCTTCGTGCTCTTGGTGGGTTTAAATCCCGCTTCTTTAATTGCAGACGCAGATGGTGAGGGGGCAGCAGGACGTTTGGGCTGGACGGACACAGAAATGTTCCCCTGTATGACTGATTTCACTGCCAGCATGCTGCATATTCTGTGTGTGTATGAATGTGTGTGTGTGTGTGTGTGTGTACCTGTGGAGCTGGTGGGTTTTCCATCTGAGGTTTGAGGATCTGTAAAGCTTCATCACGAGGGGTTTGCTTCTTCCTAAACCTCCCCTCTCCTCTCCTAAACACACACAGTGTCAACAGCACACATTACAGCTTGCAGAGTTTTCAAATACACTACTGTTTAATATGTGTTTGTTATGTGTGTGAATACAATATCCCTGGTGCTGTGTGTGTTCACTGTGAGCATTAACATCCCACTCAGTATCTGTAGGTCATTTTTTGTAGCCATGGTATTATTTAATTCTGTGACTGAAGAAAGCATCAACTGCTGTGCGACACATACAATTATGCATGTGTGTGTGTGTGTGTGTGTGTGTGTGTGTGTGTGTGTGTGTACAAGACGTCACCTCTTTTCTTGTAGCAGCATGTCATCTGATGGAGGTGGGGAGTTGTATCTTTTGATGATTGCTTAAAAGGAATAATATAAAGTATAAATGTATGAATTATGCAGATAACACTTTAAATTTTTTCATTGCTCACATCTAAATACCAACCATTGTTTCTAGAAATCAAGAAATAAATACGTGTATCAACTTTATGATCATCTTTCAGTCATTCAGTCATAAATATTTAAAAGCTTTTAAATTCAGTCACCTTGCACATCTTGGCTGGGGAAGATGTGCTCTGTGGTGCGACCTGCTGAGAACTTCACCACCTCGCCAGCAGGGGGCAGGGGAGTCGTCACAACTGGGGCTAAGACAAACACACACATACAACAACAACAACAACAAAAAGTGAATAAAACAGGCAATAAGGAGTGATGCTCTGCTGGGAAAAGGTGTTCTTTCACTTTAGATTTAAGGGACTGAGGGGACTTTCTCTCCTGCTGACTCTCATGTTTTCTCTGTCTCTCACTCTCTTACCAAACTTCCTGACTGGTTTGTCCTTGTTTATGGGGATGCCTGGAGCCTTCCTCCGAGAGCCACTGTCCTTTCCTGACTGAACCTGAAAAAGCCACACGTAGAGGAGAGAGAGAGTTTAAAATGAAGGCTTTGCAGACATTACATATTGTCTCTTGAGATTGTGTCGCAGCCAGGACAATGTCGTGGCAAAGTAAATGGTAGAAAAGGGACTGTATAAATACAGGATTATGAATGCAGCACAGTATAATTTGTTTTTAGAATTTGTCTGTGAGGTTGGGTCGAAAAATGTAATGTCGCACTTATGCTCATTTATCTCAGAACTGGAATCTAGAAACTGGATGGTGCATCACGGCATCTTATTGCATTATTATCTCTATATGTTCCAGATACTTTTATTCTTAATACTGTGAATCTTTCGTTCAATATATCTTTGAACATTCTGTCCAAATATTTCCATTTTAAATAGTAATTATTTTAAAATATTTGTATTGTAAAAAAGTTCTGTTGTTCTTCTTGTCTATGCACCAATTCACCAAAGCAAATGTCCTGTATGTGAACATTTACTGTAAACTGGAATCTGATTCAGATCCACACAATCTCATGTGACTAAAACATATTAAAAACCCCTATTATTGCCCTAAAAAAAAAATGACCAACATATTCAAAAGATGCACCACAGTCAGAAGACGCTGAACCAGCCACATCTGCACCGCCCTCCGTCTAGTTTGGCATTTACTTTGAGATTTTATTGGGAGTTTTCTCATCCCATTGACTGATTTTGATCCTTTCACTTCTTCTCAGTAAGGGTCTGTGACAGATGCTGTTTGTTTGGCTCTGTATTTGTTCTTTTGTTTTGTCTCTGTTCGTTTTTATTTTCCTTTAGCCTCAGTGCGTCTCTCAGACACGTGAGTTGTTGATTTTAATGATTAATTAAAAGGTCATACATATTTCATTTTCAAATACACTTGCTTTCCCTCTCATCATCCTACATACAGTTCTTTATTTTATTTCTAACAAACCTCTCACTCTATCCTTTTAAGGAAACTGGATCTTGTTTTGAGGATAACATTTTTCCTGAGGGACTGTAGCTTGTTGTTGTTCGACTTTACAACAACAGCAACTATAAACATCTTTCATAAATTAACAACGACTTATGTAATACGTCAGTCTGGACTGTTACCTCACATGCCTCAGAGTTACTGACCCGTGAAGAAGCGTTAGCCTGGGGCTGTGTCGGCTCAGTTTTGGAGGAGTATGTCTGGGGCTGAGGCCGAGCTTCGGGTCGCGTCCTGGGGTCCGCAGGAGGGTGTGAGGGAGTTTGTTCATGTCTAGAAGGGGGGGAGTAGGGATGCCTGTGCTGGATGTCTGCTGCACCGTAGGGGGTGGGTGTGAAGTTAGCGTAGGGGCTGGGTGGGATGTTAGCATATGGACTCGGGGGTATGGAGCCGTAGGGGCTGGCAGGTGCATACGGGCTGGGAGGGTGAGTGAGTATAGGGCTCATGGGGGGGCTTGTGATTGGGGAAGTAGGGGGACTCGTCATGGCCATGGCCTGCATGGTCATCTGCTGGGCCTGAGAAACAAGACGCGTTAACTCCAAAACAAGAACTGTGAGAGATAAACAGACGCAGATCCAGACGGAGGGTTTACCATGATGATGGCCTGCTGGTTCACGATGGCCTGCTGCTGCCGGGACAAAACAGCCTGCTGGGCATCTGGAGGAGAGAGGAGGAGAAACACAGTCAACAGGAAGGAGGGATGACAAATGATGTGTAATGAGGGGGTTCTTTTTTCTTATTTTTCTTCACGCTTGATACGAACCAGGTGTTACAGGTGCCACAGCAGCGACGGGAGGTGACATTACGCCTCCCACGGGAAGGACTCTCACAGCTGTAGACAAACAAACATCATATTTTAAGAGTGTGGTGTTTTTTACACTTGGTAATTATGAATTGAGAGTTTGAGGTTCCTTCAGTGTGTTATTATACTGTATGGCTATGTATGTGCTCTTTTATTTCAGTGCCTAGATTAAATTGAAGCTCTCAAAAATTAATGAACACAGTAAGTGGTTCACAGCATGAACACTACTTTCCCACAGTACAAATATGACGCATAAATGAAAGTTGTGTGGCAATATACCTGTCAGTAGCAACATGATTTACTACATTCACTAAAGGGAGGTGTTCAAATCTCCTTGTGCATTTGAATCATAGTTAATGGACCTCATCTTGAAGTCTTTAGTGTTTAGTTTTATTTAGCTAAAAGTCGGAATATTTGATATCCATGTCCACCCTCTAAAGATCTAGCTCACTCAGTTCTTAATATTAATCCATTTAATAATGGGGCTGTGTCCAAAATATATACATTGATTCTGAATAACTGCCCTCCCACATGGGATAAAACTAAAGAAGCATGGGAAGGAGATATTGGAGAACATACAAAACAACAAAAACATTGTTTCACGTATACACACCTCTTCTTTCTGTATTAGACATGGATTAATCCAATTTAAGGTAGTACACGGGCTACATTACTCCAATGACAGACTCGCTAAGATTTTGCCCAGTGTCGCTCCAACCTGTCCCAGGTGTCATTATTCCCCTGTTTCCATGGGGCATATGTTCTGGATATGTCTGTCATTAAGCAGTTTCTGGGCTTCGGGTTTTTAGGGTTTTGCAACTTTTTGTCATAAATGTTGGACATACTGTATTTGTGAAAAACTGAAAAATAAAGCCCTGATGAACCTGGGGGCTGTGTTGTCCGGAACCTTGTGTTCCTGGTAGGGTCTCCCATGGCAAATTGGTCTCAGGCAAGGGGCCAGACTAAGATTGGTTCAAAAGACCTTATGAAAGACGACACAGGAAGTGAGGATACCCGGCCCGGAGGAAGCCCGGGGTCCCCTTCTGGAGCCAGGCCCAGAAGGAGGACTCGTCGGCGAGCGTCTGGTGGCCGGGCTTGCCACGGAGCCCGGCCGGGCCCAGCCCGAAAAGGCAACGTGGGCAACACCTCCGCTTCTCCGTCCCCGCGGGCCCACCAGCTACGGGAAACAGCGATGGGGTCGGGTGCGCTGCCAGAAGGGTGGCAGTGAAAGCGGAGGGTCTCGACGGATCAGACCCGGGCGACAGAAGCTGGCTTTGGGGACGTGGAACGTCACCTCTCTGGGGGGGAAGGAGCCGGAGCTTGTGCGGGAGGTGGAGCGTTACCAGTTGGATCTGGTTGGGCTCACCTCTACGCACAGCGTCGGCTCTGGAACCTTACTTCTGGATAGGGGTTGGACTCTATTCTTCTCCGGAGTTGCTCAAGGTGTGAGGCACCGGGCGGGTGTGGGGATACTCACAAGTCCCCGGTTAGGTGCTTCGTTGTTGGAGTTTACCCCAGTGGACGAGAGGGTCGCCTCCCTACACCTGCGGGTTATGGGGGGGAAAACTCTGACTGTTGTGTGTGCTTATGCACCCAACAGCAGTTCAGAGTATACGGCCTTCTTGGAGACTCTGGAAAGAGTCCTGTATGGGGCTCCTGAAGGGGACTCTTTAATCTTGCTGGGAGACTTCAACGCACATGTGGGCAATGATGGAGACACTTGGAGGGGCGTGATTGGGAGGAACGGCCCCCCTGATCTGAACCGGAGTGGTGGTTTGTTACTGAACTTCTGTGCTAGTCATGGATTGGCCATAACAAACACCATGTTCGAACATAAGGATGCTCATAAGTGTACGTGGTACCAGAGCACCCTAGGCAGAAGGTCCATGATCGATTTTGTTATCGTATCATCGGACCAGAGGCCGTATGTTTTGGATACTCGGGTAAAGAGAGGGGCGGAGTTGTCAACTGATCACCATCTGGTGGTGAATTGGGTCGAGTGGCGGGGGAAGCCTCTGGATAGACCTGATAAGCCCAAACGTGTAGTTCGGGTGAACTGGGAACGTCTGGAGGAGGCCCAAGTTCAGGAGGCCTTCAACTCACACCTCCGGCGGAGCTTTTCGGGCATTCCTGTGGAGGTTGTGGACATTGAGTGGTCGGTGTTCAAAGCCTCTATTGCCGAAGCCGCGGCGGGGACCCTCGAACCTCCTGGTGGACACCGGTGGTCAGGGAAGCCGTCCGACTGAAGAAGGAGGCCTTCAGGGATTTGTTATCCCGGGGGACTCCAGAGGCAGTTGCAAGGTACAGACAGGCCCGAAGGGCAGCAGCCTCATCCGTGGCCGAGGCAAAGCAGCGGGTGTGGGAGAAGTTCGGAGAAGACATGGAGAAGGACTTTCGGGCGGCACCAAAGTTGTTCTGGAAAACTGTCCGACACCTCAGGAGGGGGAAGCAGGGAACCATCCAAGCTGTGTACAGTAAGGATGGGACGTTGTTGACCTCAACTGATGGAGTGTTAGGGCGTTGGAAGGAACACTTTGAGGAACTCCTGAACCCGACAACTCCGCCCTCTATGTTAGAGGCAGAGCTGGAGTATGACGGGGGATCAACACCAATCTCCCGGGGGGAGGTCACTGAGGTCGTCAAACAACTCCACAGTGGCAAAGCCCCGGGGGTGGATGAGATCCGCCCGGAAATGCTGAAGGCTCTGGGTGTTGAGGGACTGTCATGTTTGACACGTCTCATCAACGTTGCGTGGAAGTCGGAAACAGTACCGAAGGAGTGGCAGACCGGGGTGGTGGTGGTTCCCCTTTTTAAAAAGGGGGATCAGAGGGTGTGTGCCAATTACAGAGGCATCACACTACTCAGCCTCCCCGGGAAAGTTTACTCTAAGGTACTCGAAAGGAGGGTCAGGCCGATTGTCGAACCTCAGATTGAGGAGGAACAATGCGGATTCCGTCCTGGTCGTGGAACGACGGATCAGCTTTTTACTCTCGCAAGGATCCTGGAGGGGGCCTGGGAGTACGCTTATCCGGTCTACATGTGTTTTATAGACTTGGAGAAGGCGTATGACCGAGTTCCCAGGGAGTTACTGTGGGAGGTGCTGCGGGAGTATGGGGTGAGGGGGTCTCTACTCAGGGCCATCCAATCTCTGTACTTCCAAAGCGAGAGCTGTGTCCGGGTCCTCGGCAATAAGTCGGACCCATTTCCGGTGAGGGTTGGCCTCCGCCAGGGCTGTGCTTTGTCACCAATCCTGTTTGTAATATACATGGATCGGATTTCGAGGTGTAGTCATGGGGGAGGGGGTCTGCAGTTCGGTGGGCTAAGGATTGCACCACTGCTTTTTGCAGATGATGTGGTTCTAATGGCTTCATCGGTCTGCGACCTTCAGCACTCACTGGATCGGTTCGCAACCGAGTGTGAAGCGGCTGGGATGAGGATCAGCACCTCCAAATCTGAGGCCATGGTTCTCAGCAGGAAACCGATGGACTGTCCACTCCAAGTAGGGAATGAGTCCTTACCCCAAGTGAAGGAGTTCAAGTATCTCGGGGTCTTGTTCTCGAGTGAGGGAACAATGGAGCGTGAGATGGGCCGGAGAATCGGAGCAGCGGGAGCGATACTGCAGTCGCTTTACCGCACCGTTGTGACGAAAAGGGAGCTGAGCCAGAAGGCAAAGCTCTCTGTCTACCGGGCCATTTTCGTTCCTACCCTCACCTATGGTCATGAAGGATGGGTCATGACCGAAAGAACGAGTTCGCGGATACAAGCGGCCGAGATGGGTTTTCTCCGCAGGGTGGCTGGTGTCTCCCTTAGGGATAAGGTGAGAAGTTCGGTCATCAGGGAGGGACTCGGAGTTGAGCCGCTCCTCCTTCGCGTCGAAAGGAGCCAGTTGAGGTGGTTCGGGCACCTAGTTAGGATGCCACCTGGGAGCCTCCCTAGGGGGGTGTTCCAGGCACGTCCAGCTGGGAAGAGACCAAGGGGTAGATCTAGGACCGCAGGTGAAGGGATTATATCTCTTCGCTGGCCTGGGAGCGCCTTGGGATCCCCCAGTCAGAGCTGGTTGATGTCGCCAGGGAAAAGAAAGTTTGGGGCTCTCTGCTGGAACTGCTACCCCCGCGACCCGACCACGGATAAGCGGGAGAAGATGGATGGATGGATGGATGAAAAATAAAGTTGTTTAAAAAAAAAAAATACAAAAAAAGTCGGAACATTTTAATTATATTGTAGTCAAAGAAAACCATAACCATGTTGTTTTTATTGTTCATTGTGAAGTAAGTTGCACTGATTCCACATGACTTTACATAGTGTGTTCATACTGTATGGTGTGTGAAGCAAAGGAAATGGAACTGCTTATTAGTTGTCTCCTCTTTTTTTGCTAATACAAAGTAAGGTTTTGTAAGTCTTTTTGTTTTTTTTACTTTTCCCTGTCATTTTTTGACAACAATATTGCAAGATCCCAGTTAGTGATTCAAGACGATGGTGCTGTCTCATCGTTGCTCTGTCTTAATACAGTAACAAAGGTTGTGAGAAAAAATGTTGTTTCAATTGAAAATGATTCCTGCCAAAGAGTAAACCATCAAGTGAATGAGTGAACAAGGGAGGTATTTGAAACAGAGCCTGTGTTTTTCACTGACCTCCAGGTGGAGGTGGGGGGCCGGTTGACTGTCCTTGCTGCTGCCACCCGCCTCCAACCCCCCCAGCCCCCTTCATCCTGCTGGACAGTCCTGCGGCTGATTCTGCTTCCTGTGAGGACAGACAGAAAGAAATTATACTTAAGAATCAGATTACAACATGAAAAAACAAAGTACAGTATATTGGCTGATATGTAAGTATCGGCTTATATGATGGCTAATGATGGCTTTTGATTGAGAATGGTTCATAGACATTATTATTGTCAGTCATCTGTGAAGCACTTTGAACTGCAATCCAATGAATGAAAGCTGCTTTACAAATAAAGTTTGATTGATTTCTTGAATCTATAATTATTAGTATTGACAGTATCCAGTATCAAAAGCTGGCAAATATCTGGTCTTTCTGCATCCTGTTTGTCTTTGATCAGATAGTTCCTAATAAAAATCTAAATTTGGTTTTGTTAATCCCTTTAGGTAATATTTTGGTCAATTTGGTACTGAAACTCTGGTATTGTATTAATTTCATATGACAACGGGCTCTACCTCTTTGACAGGTGTATAGTTTGCTCCTGCAGTTATAATGTATTTTAATAAATACCCTCAACGTTGACAAAAAGTGTAAAAAAGCATCATCTCCAGCAGCAGAATTCACTCCTCCACAACTTCTTCTTCTTCCTTCGTGTAACGTCAGAGACTCCTTGTCGTGTAGCCATGCCCGCATCTCTGGTCCTAAGTCGAAGAGGCTGGCTTCCGAGGGTGGTCTATATAAAGGGCAGGTGGTGATTATGTGTTTGGCAGTCTGTTCAGGGTCACCACACTCGCATGCAGCACTGTCTGCCAGGCCCCACTTCTTCATCGATGTTTTGAAGCGACCGACCCCAGTTCGTAGACGGTTTCGTGTGGTCCATTGCCGGCGTGGTAGGTCGTCTCCTCCTATGGCGCCATCTCCTGGGTCCCAGATGTAGCGATGAATGCGGGAGGGAGTGGGATATATCTCCCACTCCTTCCAAGCAGCCGCCAACCATGCATCTCTGGAGAGGTCCTCAGAGGTGGAATTGAGCATCTCTTGTGCTGCCTTGTTGTAGGGGAGGCGGGACTTGAGCCTACTTAGAGGCGCTGCTGTCGTTGTAGTGTTATGCAGGATGTGCCAGTCATGCTTTTGAGCTTTCCTGGCCAGGGCGAGGGTGGCAGCCTCCCATCCTCCACAACTGATCTGTGTGTTCAGTGTGCTCCAAAGAAATGTCACCAATAGATCTCTAAAAATATATATTCAGAGGAATTTTCGGGCTATGTGGAGGCGATAACAAATCATGGCAGTAGAACAGTTAAATATATTGTGACATGTTTTTTCTTATTTTTTTGCAGAGTCTCCTTTGGTTGAAATCCAAGCTGACTCCAACTACTATGAAGGAGCAAACTAAAACAATTGAAGATCTGCCTTTTAAGCCAAAAGGGGATGTATTTAATAGTAACAGATTTTTTGGTGGAGAATTTCTTCAACTTGTAAGTGTCTATGTCAACAGTAGTGCTATAGAGACATACAGGGAGATAAAAAACAGACTTTTGAATGTCGGATCAGAGAAATCCCCTCGTAAGTGAGCAGCCGGTCCATCAGAAATCAGCCGCTGACCCATACATCCACAGCAGTGTGTGTCTGTAGGCCATGTCTCATTAAATAGTAAGCCCTTCATTTGCCAGAGTGTCAGTTCCTCGTAAGTAGATCCTTGCGTTGCCTGGGTGGGAAATCACGTGGCGATCTAGTCGCTGTGACAGTTACGGTAACTGGGTAACGTAATAGGTTGCTGGGCGGGAGAGGTCTGTAGAACACATCTGATACATGCTAATTCCTGTCAGCCACATCCGATAGCACGGCTAACATTCAGCACGTCGCTGCCGAAGACTGATAGATCCAACATGGCCAGCATTCACTGCACCATTGACCAGACTTAGTACCAGCGGATTTAACTCAATCAGAGACAATCAGGTCATACTACAAGTGTCATTTTAATGACAGGGGTGTAGATTACATTTTGTGGTGGATAATGCCTTACAAATGAAAAGGCAACGATTTTTCACTGCTGCCTTAACTGAGCAGAGAGCAGTAATCTAACACTGCATCTCTGGCAATCTGCTAGGATAGTTTTATGTTAAGTTTATATTTAGAGCACATTTAAAAACAGCAAAAGTCGACTAAAGTGCTGCACTGTGGTAACAAAAAGAGTGACATAAACAATAATAAGGTAAGAGCATTGATTCAACTAGAACGCAACTGAATGAAGCTAAATATTGGTGAACACAAATGCTTAACTATCATGGTAGGTTCTTGGTTGAGTTTTAAATGATGTTAAGGAAAGGGGCTGATCTAATAGAAAGTTCAAGACTGTTACAAAGTTTAGAAGCCGTAAGTGCAAAGGCCATACAATGAGAAACCTACTGTAAGCTTATTCTACTTTGAAATCCAAAGTGTGACCAATCACACAATTTGATGGGTTTTAATGTAGCCTTCTTAATAACAGAATTTGCACATGCAAATCAAAACACATTCCTGCTGTTTGAAACAAAATGTAGACAATACAGTATTTTCTTTTCTATTCTTAGCACCTTCGTTACATTAATTACCATTACTATATTTATTATGTATTATAAATAAACCTAACTGTCTTCTTTACTATCTCTGTAGTGCAAAAACTGCAAAGAGAAATGGAGCATTACGGGACCAGTGCAGTAACCAACAGTAAATGGTTGACAGAGGAATCCCCTCTCAGGAGGTCAAGTGTGTCAGTGTGAGTAAGAGATGTAACTTACTCCAGTCCCCTCAGACAGCACAGGGTCAAACAGGCTGTCCAGATAACGATCCATCCCTCTCTGAGGCTCAAAGTCTGTGAGGAGGAGACGAGAGCACTTCAGCCTCTGCTGTCTGTATATACGTGTCTGTCTTTGTTGTTTTAGCCTAAATGTTTACCTTGTCCATCATAGCCAGGTAAGGCTGAAGGTATGACATCCTTCTTGTCAAAGCCACCACCCAACAGGCTTCTGTAAAACAAAAAAATATTACACTCATTTGTCAGTACTGAAGCAGCGGTGGATGAAATACACACACCTGTGACATAAGTAAAGTACAATTATCAGCTAAATGTTAGAAAGTCTTAAAGTTAAAGCACTTGGCCCAATACGCTGTTGAATAATAACATATACAGTTATTAGAGGTCAAATAATTGCATCATTGCATAGGTAACATTTAAAGATATTATGAAACAATGTAATACTGCTCTTTATGAACTACATAAACAAACAAGACCATCAACAAGAACATTGGCTTTATACTGAGTTAGTCTTAATGCCTGTAATCAGGTCCAATTCCAGGCAAAATAAATAAATAGCATTTTATGGCACACAGACCAGAAAGATAATTGTATTTTTGATTATATTTTAGTAGAGTAAAACGTTCATTATCTCCCTCTAAGAACTAGTGGAGTAAGATTATAAAGTAGCATAAATACTTATTATTATTATTATTATTATATTAACTATAATACCCAAAATTGCACACAAGTATAGCACATTCTTCTGTTTTTAGTGAATGTGTGTCTCACATGCTGGCATTGGTCCGCACTCGGGTCGGCTCCTGTGCGGAGATGATGAAGTAGCTGCTGTGTTTGGGGAAGTCAGGAGGAAGCTCCAGGTCCGACATCAAGTCCAGAACGTAGTCTGAGCCCTCCAGCTCCACCCACTGCGCCGGCTCCTTCAGCACCACCGACCAGCCCCGACGGCCCTCCGTCACACCCCTGCACGCGCGCACGCACACGCACACACACACACACACACACACACACACACACACACACACACACACACACACACACACACACACCACACACACACACACACACACACACACACACACACACACACCAATATAATAATGCACGCAAATCTGCTCTGATCAACAGTTCCACCTAAACATCTTCTTTCCTTTTCCCAGCTTGTCTTTGTATAAGTGTAAGATACAATGGTGTGTCAGGTTTTGTTCAATAGGTACAAATAAAATACAGAGTGGGGCGAGAAGGGTTATGTTCTAATTAAATAAAATAAAATATCCAACCAACAAAAAGGATACTTTCTGAAATACAAATATCATAAGTGTGCGAGAGAAAAGAACCTCAGCAAACGTCTCTAAGACACTGATTCTTGTACATTTAGAAATGTTTCTCTCTCATAATTTTTCAAATGCTATTATTACCACCCCACCAGCTCTGAAATGTTTTATTTTTCAGCTAACATGGCCCTTATAGTCCAAACGATGATACCTGTGTTTTAGGATGTCTTTAGCCATTTCCTCCCCTGTTGTCCAGGAGTGTAGAGGACACAGGAAGGACACACCTGCAGGAGAACAACAGCACTTAATAGACAAACAGCTGAATGTGACATGACGCCTTGCTCTCTTTTGGGAAAGCCAAAATACCTCTGACACACAGCAATTACTGGCAACTTTGAAATTATGAGAGGTGTTTTTATCCTATAATGCAATAAATGCCGTTTGATCAGGTTATAAAATGGTTTCTCAACGGCATCACAAAAATAAAGTTGGTAGCACTCTTCCCTTTCTGCCTATGAGGCCTTACACAGACACCAGCATCAACAAACAGACACAAACAAAGCCAGTGAACCAGAGAGGCTCTCAGGTGTCGTCTAATCCTCAGTAGGCCTGCCAAGAGGCCGGAGGACAGATTAGCTGGATGAGAGGAGGAAATGAGAGACGGATAACTCTTCGGTGCTGGACACTGAACACACTGACTGAGCTCAGGGGAAGAAGGAAAGACGAAAAACAAGTAAAGGTGAGGCTGGGTTAATGAAAGGGAGTCAAAAACCAAGGGAGTCTAACTAATTATGTTTAAAATGCATCAATACGCCAATCATTACTTACATTTATTCAAGGCAAAACTGAATTCCTGCTATAGTGAAAATATACAGACAAGACTCTCTCTGTCGCTGGAGGGCAGAAAGCTACACACAGTCACACACACACTTTTAGTTGCACAATGATCAGTACATCTAAGCCTTATTTAATTCAATTGTATCTATTTTATTTAATCTTTTTAAATACATGTTTTCAATGGCACCTAGCTAAAGATGTTTGGTAATGTGATCACTTTCACTCTCATTCCCATCCATCCAAACTTTGGCAACTAGATCTGAATATAAAATGAATTAAAACCAGCTCTTGGCTACATGTGTTGTGTGGGTGTGTGTTCTCACCATCGAAGCAGTGTATGTGCAGAACAGTGTGCGCTCTCTTGCGATTGGCGGTCCACTCCAGAAGGCAGGGTGGATACGTGCGGACATACTCCGGCCCGACATTTAACCGCTGCAGAGCTTGAAGCAGACGGTGCTGACACACACAGTCGTAGCCCTCCGGCCCGTAATCAGACACAAACCTACAACCACAACAAGGACGAGCAAAAAGAGAGATGGAAACCACATCACGTCCCTTCTTTCATTTAAAACTACAGTATATGATCCAGCAACTTAACCTTAGATATCCCTCATGAATGCGCTAATGTTCACAGTATTTCAGATGCTATGCACCTTGAAAATGTCCTTTAAAATTGCCAAACAAGTACTGAAAACATGTGTAAAGAACCATGTGTAAAGATGACATGCATGCACTGAAAAGCATGCAATAAATGTACTGTATAAATGTTGCGTAGACATTTCCATGAGATGTGAACATATGTCACTTTTTCACTACGTTTCTTACTTCAGCAAGTACTTGGTCAGCCGTTGAGAAGGCAGGAAGACGGAGAGGCAGGAGGACAGGAGGAGCCAACCACGCTCTGAATTCAAAATGTTGGGGTTCCTCCACACCTAATGGAAGAAAGCAGAAATGAAAGAGATGTGCAATAATAGAGAAATATTCTGGTCCAACATTTTCCTTTATTGCCATCCTACCGGCTATAAGAAAGAGCAGGGCCTCACCTGATTGGCTATCTGAGCCAGGATCTCATCTCGCAGGCTGGGATTGGCGAGTCCTCTCTGGATGATGTAGTTCCCAAATAGATTCTCCTGAGCTCCATTCAAGTTTGGGTCACCCATAAATCTCAGTATCTATTAAAAGTGGAGGCATTAACGACACATTCTGTAACCTTACAAGTCAAATCACAACTAAATAGGTTTCCTATAAGTCCTTAGTCTGAGCTTTTAACATTATGCCTGCTGAAAGTAAATGGATATACTTACTCCAATGCTCAATGTGCATGGACAATAAGCACTGTACACATGTACACATATGAAGCATATCAGAAAAAAAACAAGCTTATTATTTCTACATTTTACATGAAGTCGCTCCAAAATTGTACTACCAGGGAGAGAGATTTTAACTGACTACGCATGGTTGTAAAATCAGGTTCAAAAGGTTCAAAACGACTTCTGAACACATGGTTTTATCACGTTTGAAATACTATCCCGAATGGCTAATCCTTCTTAAGCTACAAGTCATGTTCATTTTTCCTCGGTTTCACTCCCTGACGTAACGCTGATCAGCAGCTCACTTTGAAGTTTCCCAGCAGCATGTGAATGCAATATTTACCAGAATGAAAAGGTTCAGAGCTCCTTGTCTTAACTCCTCATCCGTTCGAATCAGTGAACTCTCCAGCGGGGCTGTCAGCATCCCAAACAACGGCTCCTACCACACACACACACACACACACACACACACACACACACACACACACACACACATACACATACACACACACACACACACACACACACACACACACACACACACACACACACACACACACACACACCACACACACACACACACACACACACACACACACACACACACACACACACACACACACACACACACACACACTTGATTTTACATAGGGACATGGATGGAGAGCCGGACAACATAAAGGTTCCCGAAAGACTATTAACGTTTTATTCACATGTATATTTTCTGTGTGTTTTCTGTTTGTTTGTTTTCTGTGTGTTTCATTACCCTAAATATGGCCCGGATGTAGTGTGTCATGAGGTAGTTGTTGATGTCCAGAGGAAGTGTCAGCTGGGGGTCAACCTGAACTTTTGGAGCCTGCACCACCGCCAAGCAGTCAGAATGCAGCTCTTCACCACCTGCATGCACGCACGCACGCGCACACACACACACACACACACACACACACACACACACACACACACACACACACACACACACACACACACACACACACACACACACACACACACACACACACACACACACACACACACACACACACACAGCCAACACCCAAACAAGGTGGAGGGAAGTTTATATATAACACGGACTGACTGCAAATCTGTGTGTGTGCATCTATGTGTGTGTGTGTGTATGTGTGTGCGTGTCTATGTGTGTGCGCGTACCTGAGGCCGCCTGTAGCAGAAGTGCCAGCTCAGCAGGAATAGGCAGCGTTGTGACATTCACCACTTCTCTGTTGATGCGATCCTACACACATCGCAAACACACACACACACACACACTTATATGACACACTGATGCTGCAGCTTCATCTTTTCTCCAAATGTGTCTCTCCCTCCTCTCAGACACTTTTCACTTTATTTCACACCCTCACTCACCTCCTCTGCTTTCCTTGCAGGCTCCAGCACTGTCTGACAGAAAGACAACAGTATCACACTTCACACATTTGTTCAATCTGTAAATTCATTTTTCAGACGCACATACTGCAAATGACACAGACGCAGTGTGCATACCCTCGTGTAACGCTGGCGGTTGACAATGAGCAGCACGATAGAGCGGAGCCTGATGAGGTACTTTATCCTCAGAGCAAGCTTTTTCCTGTTCAGGAAAAGCAATAACAATAGGAGATGGATTACTCATAAAGATACAGGGAGTAGTAAAACAAATCTAAAGAAACACATTAAAGGAGTTGGCACTTTTTCATTTAAAAGCCATTAATAGAAAATGACATAAACCACTGCACAGTTCATTTAGCAAGGTTTGTCTTCATTACATGTATAGATTTAGTTACAGCTTCTGGGAAACATTTATAATCTCCCTGTATTCATCAAAGTGTGATAAATTATCTCTGAAGTATAATTACAGACTCAAAAGGTTTGACCTTGTGTTTATTGCCATTGTAGTGTCCTCATTAAGCCAGTAAGTGCATTTTAAACGTTCAAATAAAATACAAATGTGCACCACGCTCCAGGTTTTGTCAGTTTGTCCGTCAGTGAGAAATCTATTATGTTTAATGGATGAGCGAGACTTTGATCCTCTGACCCTGTCTCCTCACATGAAGAGAGACAGGGTTGCCTGTAATAAGCTTTGACATACTCGGCTCGCTGAAAACGATCACTATATTTCACTGCTGCCGATAAAAGAAAACTGAAGCTCAGAAGAGCCAACCTCCAGGAAGAGACGGGTGATACGAGGGGTTTTCAACCAGAGGAATGACACCAAGGATGATTGCAAAATAAATGAATGTCTATTACTTTTTTTTTCTTTTTTCTATTTATTGGCATCTAGAATCACAGTCTCTTGGTTGTATGTCTCAGAAGACCAGTTGCAGTTTACACCCATGGCTGTCCAACAATGTCATAACATCATCATTTTAATTAAATTTGACATTTGTGTGAAATGATCATCCTCCTTCGCGTCGAAAGGAGTCAGTTGAGGTGGTTCGGGCACCTAGTTAGGATGCCACCTGGGCGCCTCCCTAGGGAGGTGTTCCAGGCACATCCAGCTGGGAAGAGACCAAGGGGTAGACCTAGGACCAGGTGGAGGGATTATATCTCTTCGCTGGCCTGGGAGCGCCTTGGGATCCCCCAGTCAGAGCTGGTTGATGTCGCCAGGGAAAAGAAAGTTTGGGGCTCTCTGCTGGAACTGCTACCCCCGCGACCCGACCACGGATAAGCGGGAGAAGATGGATGGATGGATGGATGGATGGATGGATGGATGGATGGATGGATGGATGGATGGATGGATGGATGGATGGATGGATGGATGGATGGATGGATGGATGGATGGATGGATGGATGGATGGATGGATGGTGAAATGGTCATCATTTAGCACCTTGATGCTTATCTAATGGCCAGATATAATGCTTTGTGACCTTGACTTTTGTCCATCAAATTGTAATCAGTGTTTGTGCCAAATTTCAAGGAATTTAGGCGTTCTCGAGATTCACAAGGTTTGGACAGATGTGAGGTAGCAGTGACCTTGATTGATCAACTTTGCGATTGGCACTTCTGCCTCACCTGTCGCCAGCACAGAGGATTTAAAAATAATTGGCATTTTGTAAGTGTGTAATTGTCATCAGATTAAAACAATGATCTCTTCTAGCTGAGCAGTTTGCCACTGTGTGCAGCTTGTTTGATGTTGTGAAGCAGCATCCCTTTAGTTCAGCTGAACATTACCTGGCCAGGTATCCTTTGCAGCGAGCTCCAAACAGAAACATGCGGCGCCGTAACTTGGCAAAGTTCTTTCGGACAAAGCATGCGCGGGTGTATCTCTGCAGCGTCATCGCAGCGATGTGCAGCACACGGTCCCGCTTCCCCTCCAACAGCTGATACAGCTCCTCTTTCAGGAAAATCTAACAAGCACACACACATCTTCTTACCAAAGCAATTATTTGTTACGTATGATTATTTTGACTTTATTTAGTACATGAGTAATTGGCTCACCTTACTGACTCCCAGCTGATACGAGCCATTTTTGACCGGGCCGAGCTTGTGGAGCATGATGACACAGTTTTCTCCGTCTGCAGGTGGAGTGTCCTTCAGGCAAAGCAGCGCTTTATACCTGAGCAGACCCACACACACATACAAAATGACATTATTCATTGTTTATGTAAACCAAGAGCAGTGAAATATAAAGCTGCTGCATGTGTGTTAAAGGGATTGTTAGATTGTAGTTGGGCTTTTTGAGGTAATTATGGTAAAACAGTGTATTATCTACAGTAGATGGTGGTCAACATGCCCCCAGTTTGAAATAACAGACAGGAGCACGGGCACAGAAGCTAAGCAAACTACTACTGTGGACCGAGGCAGCAACAAAACATATTTTAGTCAACTAAAAGTCTGTTTAAAGGCTGTCAATCTCAGGGGCCTAGTGTGAGGCTGATTAGGATTATAAGTGTTCTGAGTGTTGGTTTGTAAGTATTTGTTTGTATTTAGTAGTTTTGGTGTAAATCTAATTGACTGTAAGTGTAGGAAAGTGTTTTTCTGTGATACTGTATGTCAGACTTCTTTGGCAGCCGCTGGTCAGAGGTGCTAGGCAAGGCAAGGCAAGTTTATTTATATAGCACTTTTCAACACAAGGCAATTCAAAGTGCTTTACAAAAAATGAAAGACATTAAGAAAATGGCATTTAAAATCAGTCATTAAAAAGAAAGGATAATAAAATCAATGTTGTGAGATCAATGCTTTCAGCTGCTTTCATACTGCAGGCACTGACGTGTGCCAGATGGCTATTTCAGTATGAGGAAATTGGTGTGTGAATTGTGCACTCACTAGAAAAAAAGCCTATAATTAAAGTAATTTTGACATTTTGAAGGTCTTGAGATTTAAAAGGGACAGTAATAATTAGTTTGAGAAAATAATCTGCCTGTGGCAGAGGTAGGGGACCGAGACTGACATGAATACTTATCGCCTCCCATAGACACAACACCGTGCATTACAGAAACATATTTAGGACTATATCGCTGTACTTTTCATGTTATTTTATACTTTGTACTGTGAACATTGCACATTCCTTGACAATTTGGGATATTTCTGCATAAATAGGCTTTTAAAAATGACACAGCTCTTTCATTTGCATTTACATATATTGTAATTATAGTTTTTTTTTGTATAGATGTTGAGATGAGTCTTTACAACATGTGGTTCAATTGAAGTGTACATTCAATCCTAAAATACATTTAAGGTGAAGATTAGTAAGTAACGTACCTTGTGAGAAAGCTGTGAAAGTGCAGTCTGATTGGATAACCCTCCTTCCTGATCTGGATGGTCTCCATGATACCAGAGTAATGAAGCTGAGTGTTGACCAGCTGCATGTCGAACACGGCTGGCTCCTACACATACATTAGCAAACACATCATTTGCATGAGCTGTTACAATTCAATCCAAAAAAACTAAACAAAAAACACTGCAAACCTGCACACACTATCCAACATGCAAATATACCTTACGATGGTTTGACTTGATGCATCGCACAAAATAAGGGTTACACCTGTCACAGATAGATGAGAACGAACGCATGGATAAATAAATGAAAGCATGATTTGAAACTGAGGAAAACCAACTGAACAATAAATCATTATAGCATCGCATGGTTTCACAATTGAAGCATATAAACAGTTTCAGACTTAATGCACTCCAGGGCCTTGTTTTCTTAATCTATAAAACAAAGGACTAAACTCAGATAAAGCAAAGAAAATGCATTTTCCCAATATGAATGGCTTCTACAAACACTGACCCACTTATATTTAAAATATAAACACAACACATTTAAGTGAAACATTGGTAAGATATTGTTGAAGGAGGCCCATTGTTCAGTTTTCATTGTCTTTTAAAGCACAAGACAATAACAATAATAAGTAACTCCCGTTCCCGTATTATACTCTCTACATCTTGCAGTACCTCTCAGTAAATGTATTAGAGTTGCATGTTAACCTTATCAGGAGCTAAACATGCATTCATTCATGTTGGAATGAATGATGGCACTCATGTTTGCATGCATTTAGCAGTTTCACTTTGGGCATTTAAAGAGTTGTAAAAAAGCAGCTAAAACACCAATCAGTGGAAAATAGGATGCAATTGGAATACAACTGTAACATTTTCAAATGATGTTATAAAGGTGTGCCAGAGGTTACTTCATTGTAATGTAAAGCGCTTTGAGCACCTGGAAAAGCGCTCCAATAAAAAAAATGTAATGAATTATTGTCCCTAAAGGTAAAATGTTTAACTCAAACCTCTCCATCTTCTCCAGCAGCTCCTGCAGGCTGCTCTGAAACTTCGCGCTGACCGTGTTGGCCTGAAAACGCCGAGCCGTGCTGCTGCGCCGCTGCGACCGCTGTTGAGACTCAAACTCTGAGTGCTTTAAGAAGAGACTGGATACCATCTGTACACAACAACAATATTTACTTCATACGTTGTTGGACATTTAAAAATAAAATAAAAGAAAAACTCAAAATATGCATCATATTGTATGAGCTTGAAGTATAATGGCAGCACTACAACACATGTTGATTAGTACTCATTTTGATATTTAAAATGTGATTGAAGATCACTTGAGCAACACAAAATGGGTATTACTGTAAATGTTGGTGAAAACTAAGAGAGTAAGGCAAAGGAAATAAAGTTTATTTGAACGTCTCACTCTGTTCTTGCTCTGAATGAAGAGGTCGAAAACATCCTGGCGGACTGTGTCGAAGTTCTTATCCAAGAATTTGTGCACCTGCACCACAAATCATTAGAAAACTATGATCAAAATCAAACCAGGAATTCAACAAGTGTAAAAGTGTAAAATCCCTGAGCACCGTGTGCAAAAGAGGCTGAGGAGTTTTTATACATTGAAGAAGACATTTTAATTTGTAAACAAATAATATGTGAAGATACCACAAGAGCACCTTTCCTTAGAATAGTAGGCTCTGAGAAAGCAGAAATCTGGCAACTAGCCAAATTTGAAAGCAATGTGGTTGTCTAGTTGTATCCCAGTTGCTAATGCTAGAGGGCACTTCAATTGTTACAAAAAAACCAGAGGAAAAGGAAAATGACAAGGAAGAGAAGAAGAAAAAACATTAAAGAACAAAATAAAGTCAAATGAAATGTACCTGGTAAGAGACTTTCCCAGCGTAGTGTTTCAAGGTGAACTCTGGCAGTGGCATCTTTGGCCTGGCATATAGCGGGTCGTTTCCATGGTGATAGTGGCACTTCTGAAGGAAGGTGTGGTCTGTTGCCTAGCGATGATTGGAGACGGTTAATGGCTGGTGAGCCATGGAAACTAAATCTATCTCTACAGCACAAACACATGTTGCCCGTGTGTGTGTGCAGCAGATTGCCTCCATCAGTAACACCGTGTTCATATTTCACTCTATTCACACTTTATAATACGTTTATCTCAAGACGTCTTACATTAGGAGCCCCGGGAATAATGATAACGGCAGGTAGGCAATTAAGTGAGCGTGTGGGATCGTTTTGTATTGATCCGAGAAGACTGCAGTAGACTTTAGTGCCCTGGTTTATGAGAAATCCAATATGTGAGATGTTTAACTACATTTATTTCAAAATTGTGCTATGAAATATTTTAATCATGTTATGTCAGCTGTTACTTTTTTCTTTACAATACACGTAAATAATGTAAGATTTTGTATCTAGTCTACATTTAACAACATTAGTCCTAGTGGATATAATCCTTGCACGCTTGGAGAACAAGTTTTAAAGGAGCAATGAATAATTAATGACCTTTGTTTAAACTAGGGACTGTTTGTATTGGTATAGCCTATATCAGCTCTGTTTATTATACATTTCAGTGATTTACAATTACTTTGTAGATTAAGAGTTTGATTCAACAAGTGTAGATGTACCTGAGGGAACCCACACTGGTCGTCCAGTATGCGCAGTATCCCATGAGGCTTTGCAGCGATGAGGTCGAGACAGGCCTGGTTGTGGCTGAAGGGCTGCTGCTGCCACGGGATCTGCTCCCGCATGTACTCCTCCTACACACACAGCACAAAAGTTAATCAGGTCGGCGTTTATAAATCTCTTCTTGGTTGTTTTCAGTTTTCACTTCAGCTCAAGTATTGCTGTGTCCACTATAGTTTGTGAAATTAAATGACCTTGTGGGTTTAAAAGAGCTTTTCTAAAATGAGTCATGTTGCAATCAAGGCTAAAATATATCATAATTGTTATACTCTACATTAACCATTTATCTTGATTAAAATTATGGATTTATTTGGGTAACCTAATCATTTCACTGGATGTGACCACATTGAATGTCTTGTGATTAAACCAAGCGGTCTTATATCCTTTTTTTATACTTTGACATTCAACTAAGTTTCAGGCTGGCTTTAACCTAGATGTCTCTTGATGCACAAATCAAATCCATCCCCACTGGGAAAACAGAATGTTGTGAATAGAGCAAACCCAGAAGTAAGCATGGCCCTGGTTCCCCTGACAAAAAGTCAATGGGATCTTTCCATTAGATCTAAAATTGAGATGACCTCTGTGGAAATATCTGACACTTACTTTGTACATCTAAAAAAAATGATATGCTGACATGTTATAACGCAGTACTGTGCTGATAATGTACACAGTATCTTAATGTGGTCCACTTGACCAACGACAATACTTAAATGATCTTACATGTATACAAAATTGGATAATATGAAAAACAAGTACTTCTACTTTGAAGTAAATTTCGCTGATTATACTCCTGTATATTATTCTGAAATGGGCCATTGTGCAGAATGAATACTTTTACTTTTTGTACTTTAAATATATTTTGATGCTAATACTTTTTTACCTTTACATTTTGAAATCAGGACTTTTTCTTGTAATGGAGTACTTTAAGACCATAGTATATATACTTTTACTTGAACACTGAAACCCACATGCTTTGTACCATTTCAACCCACTTTACCCATTCAGAAATCCAATTGACTTTGATGGGAGGAAGTCACAGAGAAATGTTTTTGATTTATTTCTGTGTTTTACAGCTCATTCCTTGAGCACTCTACATACAAATATTAACTTGTAGTTTCCCTGACCTGCTCCTCCTGGAAGATGACCTTGTTAAAGAAGAACTGCAAGGTTTCATTGGCGTAGTTGATGCACAGCTGCTCAAAACTGTTCACCTGTAGCTCCTGGAGAGTAAAGAGAGGAGACAATGGGGAGTGAAGTTAACACAGGGCAGCTCAGACGCATCAGCGCTGTAACATCAATCAGCCAGGTCTCTTTAGCTTGACCTCAAATCCATATATGTCCAATATGGAGATGGAGAGCGCTTCGTTGCGAGGGTAGACCCGTCCGTTGATGCGCTCTGTCAGCCAACTAAACAGCAGCGTGTACAGGATCTTGGCAACAGCATCTCTATGAAAAACACACAATAAGGTTTCTATGGAAACAGGATACCCGGTTCCTATGGAAACAGAGGACATCTGAAAAATCTCTCCCCCAGCCATGACATCCTTTGTCCTCACATGCCTCTACCAAAGATGGGAGGAGAACAAAATCAAAGACGCTTCACTCCCTCTCAGTCGTCTCCTGGTATGATTTTAAACGAGGAAACTATAAAGCCTGAAACAAAACTGATAGGCTTTTATTCCATGAAGAAGAAGTCGCATAGTATTGAATTCAACAGATACTATATTCAGACCCACTCACCTGGCATCCACAGCACTCTCCACTGTGAGAGGAGTGAAGATCTTCTCCCTTACTGTATCCTGGGGGAGCAAAACCATCTGTTAACATCTCTTCAATTGTTCATCTCTTTAAAAAACAGCTTTCTCTGTGGTATGCCAGAGACGGTGTGATCGTGTGTTCTGCTCACTGTCAGTTTGAAGGTGACAGACTTCTGCAGGCCTTCAGGTGAGACCTGCAGCAGCTCAGCCACCACCCTGATCTCCTGCGCACTCACCATCGACGCCACCTCCTGACCCTCAGCCTGCAGGGACACACACCCACAAGCGCCAGTCATTATTACCATCATCTATCAACATCATCATTATCATTCAACCGTGAAATTAAATGCATTGATGGAGCCAATTTGTGTGTGTGTCTATATGTATGTGTATGTGTGTGTGTGTGTGTTTGTGACCTGGTGTGGCTGGAAGTAGACGTTCCCCAGATGAAGGACAGAGGACAGCAGTCTGTAGATGCCGTTCAGCTCCTCTGGGGTGAAACACAGGATGTCCATGGCACTCAGCAGACGTCTGAAGTCCTCCCCATCATCTTTCCCCTCTATGGTACAATCCCCTCCCTGAACTCATGCACACACACGCACGCACACACACCACACACACACACACACACACACACACACACACACACACACACACACACACACAACACACACACACAACACACACACAACACACACACACACACACACACACACACACACACACACCACACACACAGTTATCAACAACAACATATTTACCCTCAGCCTGTTTAATCAAAGCTCCTAATTAAGGACCAACTAATCAGCTGATCAAAGTTTTTTCTGACCTGAGGGGTCAAACTTCTTACCTTGCTGCAGTCGGCCATGAATCCTTTTTTAAATGATCATTATAATTACCATATACCAGTTCTCTTAAAGTAACAACCATACCAATAGAGTATGTCATTTGATACTTCTTATCTCCTTACTTATTATTGCTTATTCGCAATGTTGGGTGTAATGCGTTACAAAAGTAACGGAGTCACAATAATGTATTACTTTTTGCTGTAACGAAGTAATGTAACGCATTACTAATTAAATGTGGGTAATATACTACCCGTTACAATTCTCAGTAACGCAGTTACAACACATTTTAACCCGGAATTAAATGCTGTTTTGTATTTTAAGAATTCACTAACATCGCGAGACATTCCGACACCAGAGAAAAATTGTGCGGGTAGATTAGTACACCTGGTGTTTACGCTTCAGGCTCATCAAAATCCCTCCGCTTCGCATCGGGTTCCCTGATCAGCCTGTCGGGTGTTCTTTTTCCCATAATGACTGCCTCGCTGCACATTATCACGCTTATTGCACGGCCATATAGGCCTACTAAACTTTATCTGACGTCCAGCGCTCCGTCTTTTAACCTCTTTTCCTTTCTCTTTCTTGACCCTCCTTAGCATCCTTCATTATAGTCCGTGACAGTGGTCTGTACTACTGTATTAACAACGTGTCACATGTTAAGAATTTACAATCAGAATCTAGTATTCAACTAAGCTGTGTAATACAAGTTGTTAGTAGCCTTAATGGCCTACACAGTTGTTATGCTATACCACATTGCCCTTCACTGGATGTATAATGAGCTGCACTAAACTACATTTCAGCATTTAAAATACCTAGCCATTCTTTTGCGGTTATTTTGATAAAGTAACTAAAAAGTAATATAAAAGTAGTGTAACTCATTACATTTCAGAGACAGTAATATTGTAATGTAACTTATTACTTAAAAAAGACAGTAATAAGTAATAATGTACTGTATTACATTTTGGAAGTAACTTGCCCAACACTGCTTATTCGATACCCATGTGAATAACGCATCAAAGGCTCATAAAATGCCACCACTACTCTCCAACAACATTTTATTTTTACACAAATTCCTTTTGAAATATTTAAAATTATTAATGTTTATTTAGTATCTGCTGCTTTAATGGGCTGCGAGCAAGACCATACTGAAAGCCATTATTTTCTAGTTCTGTCTACAAAAGGGATAAAATGCAGGAAGTGTTTGGAAAGTTGTGATATTGTTACACAGCCCTAGAAGTGTTGTAAAGGGTTACTTCAGGGTGTGGCATTATTCAACCGCAGAAGGCAATGACACATTACTTTTCTCCCTAGTGTTATTTAAAAAAAATAAGCCCTAGTAACCAGCAACAATTAAGATGCAATTAGTCAAGGATCTTTAATCAGCTTTGGCGTGAGCAATGTGTTGCTTTGTGTTTCATCACATCATGAAGTGGTACTGAGAAACGCAAAAGAGCAAACCAGCTCAATGATGGCCACCTTTATATATACAGTCTGTGGTGACAACCAAGTGTGCCATGACAGGGATAAACACAGAAATAGTCAGTCTCTTTAAAGGAGAAACAAATGATAAGCACTGTGTCATCACTCCAACTTACTTACTAACACTAAACGTAAAGTAAAGCTGAGACTTATGGGGATGTCACAATAACAACATTTGGGGTACTGTATTTTGTAAAATGCCAATGTGTTGGACAAAAACAAATAAAAAAATTCAGGCGTTAGCCCAAGTTGTTACAATTCACCCTGCGGGAACATAACTGTCTCCTCAATATCATTGCAATCCATCCAATAGTTGTAGATACCCTTCAATACAAAGGAAATTGCTTCCCTCACTGTGTGCTTAAGAGAGAGTCAAGGGGACACCTAGATTAATATGTTTCCTCTTTGTTGAATATGAATGTCGGTACAAAACATGATGGTTATCCATTTAATAGGTTTAAAAATCTGTTTGAACTGACCAACTGACCAATAAACATGGCTTTCCTTAGAGAGCCATGCACAACATAAACTACACCTATTTTTTTCTCACAATTTTTCCTTATTTCCTTACAATTCAAATTATGTTTAGTTTAAGCTTCTTAGCCTTTGGACAGTTGCTCAAATTAAACAATCTAACATGGTACAATTGCTCTCTGCTTTAACTACTGCCTGTAGACAAGACATTGCTTTGTTTGAGGGGTCATAGCTACTGCTGAAAAGCAATACAAAAATGCAACATTCAAGCCTTGCTAGTGATTACACAGGGTTTTAAGTAATTCATCCAATTTGGACTGAAATTATCAAACAACAGTTATCTCTCAATATATCTCTGATACAAAAAAATCCACACTGAAAACATCCCTCATTCTGTATGTGGGTACCGCAATGTGTTTTATGTTTGTGCCATTGATCAATTAGTATAATGTGAAATCTTCTGAAATGTGACAGCTCATTTGTTATGTGACTGTCAAATTGATTATAGTGACCACTCCTTGTGCTGTGTGTGTGGAGTGGAGTGTATTTTGTATTTCTCCAAGCACCTGATTTAGATAGTAGTAAGTCTCAGCTTCCTGCAGATACAGTGAGCTCTTCTCATGAGGAGGAAGACCTGCCAACATCTCATAGAAGATGTGATAGTTCCTCTCCGATTTGGCCTGTGGATGAACCAACACACACACACGGCAATACCACATTTAAAAATCAACAATGTGCACACATATTCACAAACAGTTAAGATATGTGGTGGTAGCTTTTACTGAAGAAGAAATAATGGTTTGGAAAAGACAAATGGACAGATGACTGATGAACAGACTGGCCTGTGTACAGTAACAATAGAGTTCAACATGCTTGACACTTCTCATGCTGTCTTCCTCTACAATCTCCTCTTTCCCACAATGACTCACTGGTAAGAAGACTCTGCCTAACCTGCTAAGTGTGTGTATGTTTGAGTCCATGTGTGTGTTTTCACCTGAAAGACAATGCGGGACTTCTCCAACAGGTACTGAGACGTTATGGCACCGCTGATTACACCCCTTGTAAATGACATAAAAAAAGACAGGTTCACAGATGCACGCACGCACAGTTAGTCTTGGTTAAAGTTACATAAATAAATCTATTGCAATAAAGGATCTGATTCTTATGATCTAATGAGAGAAGTTGTTTCCAGATCATCAGGATGTTTTACTTTCCAGACTCTGAAAACTCCAAACTGTTTCTTATGCTTCTTCTTCTTCTTCTTCTTCTTCTTCTTCTTCTTCTTCTTCTTCTTCTTCTTCTTCTTCTTCTTCTTCTTCTTCTTCTTCTTCTTCTTCTTCTTCTTCTTCTTCTTCTTCTTCTTCTTGATATGATCATATAAAAGGCTTTTTGTACATTCACACTTGCATGCTCCAAAAAAATCTGCAGAATACCACAAAAACAACTGAAAAAACATCTATCAGGGCACCCTCCAGCTACATCTGAGAAAAACACACCCTACCCTTGTTATGCACACACATATTCCTTATCCAAAAATGTCCTATTATTTCAAGCAGAGAGCAAAAGAGAGCTTTGCCTTGTTGTAGGACAATGTACAGTACATAGTCGCATTCACTATTCATGTTATTTTCGGGGTGTAAACACATTAGTAGTACTCACTCCTCCATGTAGATCTGCGTATATTTGCCAAAGCGTGAAGAGTTGTCATTGCGCACTGTTTTGGCATTACCGAAAGACTCCAACAGGGGCGTGGCCTCCAGGATCTGACCAACCACGACAGGCAGAAATGTTACACTGGCTACTTTCAACAACGATGATATCATGAGAGCAAAACCGAACAACACATATACTTTACCTCTATCTGTTGTCAAGAAGACATGAGAATAAAGGAGCAAATAAGAGTGTTAGCTTAAAGTGAAACAGTATGCACATTGTATGTTAGCATGCTTGTTAGTACTTAATGTACTTTATACACTGTATCTACCTGTTGTGTAATGTTGCCTTTGTGATGTATGGCTGTCAAGTACCGCAGGATTAGTTTAGTAGCTTCCGTCTTTCCTGACCCGCTTTCTCCGCTGTAATAACAACAATTGTCAACCCATCTTTTACAGCACTTCTTTTTCTTCATTACTTAAAGAAGATGTTTCACATCGTAGACAAAGCATTTCATAGAAAATTCCAAGAAAATGTGCAAAAATAAGCACTCAAATGTTACACATCTTCAAGTGTTTTTTTTAAATTGTATTCAAGTGTTGCAAATGATAATAAAGTGTTCATACCTGATCATAATACACTGGTCCTTTTTGGCATCCATCATGGTGGTATATGCGAGATTAGCAATGGCAAAAAGATGACTGCAACACAACAAAACATACTTTTTTAATGAAAAATCCATTTGTATGCTAATTGGTTTTGTGTGTGTGTGTGTGTGTGTGTGTGTGTGTGTGTGTGTGTGTGTGTGTGTGTGTGTGTGGTGTGTGTGTGTGTGTGTGTGTGTGTGTGTGTGTGTGTGTGTGTGTGTGTGCGCGCATGTGTGTGTGCTCTGAAGTCGTAGTAGTGAAATCCATAACTGGACTCTCCCTTGGCAACCAACCAACAGCAGTGTAATATGAGCCGTTCACCAACACCTAGGAGAGCTGGCAATTGCACCTCTATTTCCCACCCCACTATATCTCAGAGCATCTAGGCAGATGTAGCATAAACAGCACAAACTCACACAGGGACATGCATGCACAAGTTTTTATAATTTAGAGAGTTTATTGGTGTGTTCTGATTAAAACTAGAAAGTGTTAAGAGAATGTACACCTCCACCAAGCCTGCACAGTCATCTAAATTGTTTATTTTAAGTTTAAAGATATTTCAGAAATGTTTGATTTGCATTTTTAGTTTAAGAAGTGGCCTAACTTTTCACCAGATTTTAAAGAAATGTCACCAACAGATAGAAAGAGAGGCCTAACTTAAAACGTAACCCTTCCTGGAGTTACAAGTCCTGGAACTAATTGTCAAGGTCCAACACACACACTCCCATGTCTTACGGAGGATTGTCACTCAGGCCACGGCCCTCATACTGAAGCACCATGTCTGTGCCGTAAATGTTGAGCAACTTGTAGGGATTCACTGACACAAGGATGCTGCCTATGTAGGTCTGTATGGATAAAAAAGGGGGAAAGAAAGGAGAAGAAGGAGAGCGGATGAGTGGATATCTTTGACATTTGATGATATTAGTTATCTTATTTGCATACTAGAAATGAAACATACATATACAAGCTCCTGGTCGTAGCGCTTCTTGAGGTTCATTAAAACTGTGGTCTCATTCAGCTCACTGAAATTAAACACAGATGATATTAAACACACATGTACAGAGCGCATATTGCAGACTGCAGCAGGATTCCCACACCCACTTTGATATCCAATATTAATTACTTTTCAATGATATTCAAGATATCAAAATCAGCCATTGGGGAGAGAGTTGGCAGCATGTCGGGAAATAATTGAGGAATCATTTCTTTCAAACTGCTAACTTATGCAGAATGCTTACGGCAGCTGTGTCATGTCTTCCATCCCCTCTGCCCAGCGTTTCACCCTGTGGCCTGTTGTGGGCATGCTTAGGATAGAGTAGATCTGGACACACACACACACCACACCCCCACACACACACACACACACACACACACACACACAACACAACACACACACACACACACACACACACACACACACACACACACACACACACACACACACACACACACACACACACAGACACACACACACACACACACACACACACACACACACACACACACAACACACACACACACACACACGGTTATGGTTTTTAAATTGGTTCATCAACACTGGCATGCAATATTGTCAAAGCGATATCATTATCAGTTGATACAGAGCTGACATCAAATATGCAGACATTCAAATATGTTTCTATTTTTTGTCTTTTTTAATGATTTTGTGGATTTTCCAGCTTCTATGTTGTACTTTCCACAGTTGCAATTCCTTGAACAATGTCTAGATAGAGAGAAAGTCCTTTCCAATTATTGTCAATAAACTATCATTTGAAAAAGAATCACAAAATATGATTTAACCCACGAATACATAAATGTAGCTACCTTGTCATACCAGCTTTGACCAGGTACTCTATTTCTGTCAGGAGTCCAGTCTTGTTCATGAGGCTGTCCGTCCACAAATCGAGGTGTTGGTGAATATGCTTCTAACACACCGTCTTCTCTGTACATGGACCACTTTGACAGATTCTGGACCGTACCATGTGGTAACACCCTCTCAGCTGCCCAAACATCTTCCCCGCCTTCCCCTCCTCCTCGTGCATCCCTGGCCCAGTGTCCTGAGCGTGGCCCGTAGGGAGGAACCACGGCATAGCGATTATCCTCACCCTGCAGGCCTGTTGGCACCCTGTATGAGGCATAGCGAAGCTGCTGGTTTTGGATAGCTTCAGACAGGCGGGGGTTGTGAAACTGACGTGTGAGAACAGAGCGATCCGACAATCTGTGGAAACAATTAGGGGTTTATTTCAATTAAGAACATGTTACACAGGGTTGTACAATATTGACATTTAAAATGTGACAATTAAATATTTTGTGTCGATTTTTTGTTATTGTGATATAATTGGAAATTCACATGGCCTTTCTACATATACGGTAGGGCATTTCTGCCGCAGGTACTTTCCCAGGAACCTTTATAGAAATATACAATTCAAATGGATCAATCAAGAAATAAATTAACTTCCTGTGCAATAGTCCAAGGTGTAAGAAAATGACCCTGCTCTGGGGTATTAGTTTGTGTTAAATTTGACACTTTCTGGGTTGGCTTTGATTGGCTGAATGTCACTGATTGTTTAAAGAGAAATTCTTCAGGAACATGTTTACCACTTCCGTAAAGCTTCATTCATAAAACAAGGACTGTTGAAAACGTAGTATTAATATTAATATGAGGAGGGTTAACTACTGTTTAAAACAGATTTCGACTGATCCTGTGGTTCTCTTGCAATCACAATTTACAATTGATAGTGTAGTTCCCTACCTGAAATTGCCACCACGGAGTTCATCATTACGGAGCGCAGAGGCAAGGTTGGGAGGGGTGGGTTTTGGTGCTCCTGACAGTACAGAGTCCTCTGTTAGATGATAGAGATCTGTAGACCGAAGTGCCCGGTTTTGCCTCAGAGCGGATGAAAGGTTGGGCTTCTGGCCGGGGATAACCAGGGTACCATCAGGGAGTCGGTATGATGCACTACGAAGGTTCTGATTCGTAAGAGCCTGCAGGGAAGTCACCAAGTTGTTATTCAAGTTTATATTTTAATTTGCTAAATGTTTAGGTTTAGGGTTAACACAGGGAAAGGGTCAGTAAAAACAAGAGCCACTAAAACAAACAGGTGCTAATACAAAGTTAGGTTCACACTTTAGACAGGTCAGGGCCAACTGGCTTCCGTGGGTCAATGATGATGGTTCCATCAGGCAGTGTGTACGACAGACCCTGAAGATAGGGATTCTGCAGAGCAGCTCTCAGGTTGGGACTCTTTGGTTTTCTAGGGTCCACTATAATCGTTCCATCTGGGAGGGTGTACGAAGCTCCTTTCAAGGCTGGGTTATTGAGGGCCTAAGAATTAAAACAGCTGGTTTTAGTAAAAGTAGGTGTGGGAGGTTGACAAGTGCAATTGAATTGACCAGCAGTAGAATTACGTAAAGCGGCAACTTTTGGAATATACGTATTTCATCAACAGTCATATCTATTAGCAAAACAAAATTTACATACCTTTTGGGTAACCTTTTAAGTACCATATACTTGTGATGTGAAAAGTAATAAGTTACAAAAGAAATAGGGAAAAACAAATAGAAAATTAACAATAAAGCTAACCTTAGCCAAATTTGGTGAAACGGGTATATTCGGGTCCTGAACTCCTTTTGGTAGAGTGAAGGAGGCGTCCCGCAGGGCAGAGTTTTGAAGGGCACTTGAGAGGTTTGGAGAAAGAGGTTTCCGTGGATCAATGATGATAGTACCATCGGGCAGGGTGTAAGATGCACTTTTCAGATAAGGGTTTCGAAGTGCAGCTGCAAGGTTCGGTGACTTCTGTTTCTTGGGATCAATCACAATAGTACCATCAGGGAGAGAATAGGAGGCTTCACGCAGAGCTGGGTTGCTAAGGGCCTTTGCCAGGTTTGGGGAAATAGGTTGCTGAAAAAGCAGAGACAACCGAGCAAGAAGAACATCCATCAGCTTGAACTAATACATGGTAAACAACAGTAGGGAGACAGAATAAATTAATACCACAATAAGAGGTTAATGTGTCATTGGTTACTTGCTGTCTCGGGTCTATAAGGGTGCCATCAGGGAGAGTATATGAAGCAGACATCACATCTCGGTTCTGAAGAGCTTTTGAAAGGTTAGGTGACTTGGGCCTCTGGGGCATGCGGGGGTCCTGTGTGGGTGCGGGATGGGGTGAAATATAGGAGAGTGCAAGCATTGTTATAAAAAAACGTTGAACTGCATGTAGACAGACATACATATCAGTTTATACAGGTATTTAGACATGTTCCTTAGTACCTACCCTGATAACTGATCCATCAGGCAAGGTGTACAATGCTCCACGGAGTTGTTGGTTTTGCAAGGCATTACTAAGCATTGGAGAGGAAGGGGAAGATGGATATGGTGACACCAAAGATCCGTCTGGTAAACGGTACGAGGCCTGCATCAATTGTGAGTTTCGCAGGGCACTTCCTAACATTGGTGAAGAAGGTGGTGGGGGTCCATATGGGGACCGGCTGATAACTGATCCATCAGGCAAGGTGTACGATGCTTCACGGAGTTGTTGGTTTTGCAAGGCATTACCAAGCATTGGGGAGGAAGGGGAAGATGGATATGGTGACACCAAAGATCCGTCTGGTAAACGGTACGAGGCCTGCATCAATTGTGAGTTTCGCAGGGCACTTCCTAGCATTGGTGAAGAAGGTGGTGGGGGTCCATATGGGGACCGGCTGAGTTGCAGAGGTGTCCTATAAGATGCTTGGCGGAGGTTTGGGTTCTGTTGAAGAGCATTATGGAGCTGAGGCCCAGCCGGTGCATAAGGGTTACGGTTTTGCATCAGAGGGGATTTTAAAGATGAGACATTCTGCATATTAGACCGGTTCTGTAGGGCATCATGAAGAAGTGGTGATGGGCCAGGCTCTGAAATATAATCATATGGAGTCACGACAGTTGGTCCATATGGTGAATGGAGCTGTGGAGTCTGATAAGAAGCCACACCTCTTAGGGCCTGGCCATGTCTCATAGCTCCAGAGAGCATTGGAGATGAAGGCACAGATTGGGCATATGGGGACTGAGGCCTTTGAAGAGGAGACCTATAAGAGGCTTCTCTCACTGCCTGGTTTTGCAAAGCTCCAGACAGCATTGGGGAAGAAGGGGGCAAAGGCTGTTCATAAGTAGACATTGGCATTTGTAAAGGAGAAGCATAAGATGCATTCTGTAAAGCTTGATTCCTCAGAGCCCGAGACAGCACCGGAGATTGAGGGGTCATTGGCTGCTCATAAGGTGACATTGGTCTCTGCAGTGAGGGAACATAGGATGCATCCCGAATTACCTGGTTTCGCATTGCACCTGAAAGTGAAGGGGATGAAGGAGCATAAGGTTCTGCATATTCAGTAACCATCTCACCCATGTCTACCATTTGGGCTGGCCCTGGGCCAAAGGGAGAAGCAAAAGATGCCTGTTGAATAGACTGATTCTGCAAAGCACCCGATAACATAGGAGAAGTGGGGGCTGCAAAATGATGTGACTGCTCAGTGTAAGGATCAGCATAGGGGTCTCTAACATACGTTTCTTGTGCGTAAGAGGGATGATGGGGGGATTGTGAGGGCAGAAGGGGGGAGGACTGACGAGAAAGTCTAGGAGACAAGCGCTGGGATGTACGTTGTGGCATTTGTTTAAGGGAGGGCTGTGGAGAGGCTGGATGCATCCTTCTTATAGACTGCTGGGCCATGAGAGGATGTCCTCGAGCCACAGGGCGAGCAGGAAATCGACCAGATTCTCGCCTCCCCAAGGGAGCACGGTGGACCATGTGAGGAGAGTGAAAAGGGGAAGAGAGGTGGGAGTCCACTGTAAGAACAGATGATCTATTGCTTCGTATCGAGGAGGGGCGGAATGGACGCACATTCTGGGTGGGTGGGGGTACAGGGCGCCCTCGGAGACCCATGGGCGAGGGCCTGACGGTGCCTAAGGGAACATTTCCCCGCATCCTAGGCCGGGTCAGTGGTGTGGGGTCCCTGAGCACCCGTGTTGAGCGACGGGAGAGGGTAGGAGATAATTGGGCCGGCCGAGGCCCTGCAGGAGACAAACTGCGACGAGATAGGGAGGGGGAAGGAGATGGTCTTCTACTGCGTTGTGGAGAGTGAGGGGGAGATGCATGACCAGAAGGAGGGATAGGGGAGGGTGGACCTCGCAACATTCTCCCTCCAAGCGGGCTGCGGGCTGCAGTGGGTGAGGCTGGTGGACTTCGCCTCCTCATTGAAGCACGGGGGGAGGAAGGTGGAGAACGCTGTCTCATTGATGCTCTTGGGGAGGGTGGAGGACTTCTACGGATCATGGAGATACGGGGTGAGTGAGGGGGTGAGGGTCCTCGAGCCAGAGGAGATGGTGATCTCTGAGGTTGCATTCTAGGATGGGCAAGGGGGGAGGCCATAGGGGAGGAAGGACGTGAGATTTGTCTCGACATTACAGAGGGGGTTCTTTGGGTATTTATGAACCCACTCCTCATGGATGGTTGTGGGGAGGGGCTGCGTCTCTGTGGAAGCATAGGAGAAGGTACTGGGGAAGCCATGGCAGAGGGATGACGCTGCATCTTGGGGGATGGCATGATGACAGAGCGGCGGGAGGGAGTCGGAGAGGGCGGTTGCAGGCGCCGTACAGAATGGGGGGACAAACCTGCTTGTTTAATAATCATGGCAGTTGGAGTAGGGATCACGGAACCATAACCCTGTTGTGACATCATCATTGGGTCAGTCATCATCTGCTGACGAAAAAAAAAATAAGAGTACAATCATTTGAGAATGAAAGAAGATGGGAAGAAATAGATTTGGTTTTAAAATGTGTTACAGTGTTGAATATAGTTTATAGATTCTAGTGAAATTAAAATGTCATTACACCTGTCCACATTATGGAAAATACGTTCTATAAATGTATATATTGGCAAATGTTTACTATGGCATACATTTGTGAGGCAAAGGTTTTTTAGTTTTTTGTATCTTTTAGGTTGTTTTGAGAAGTGTTCCTTCTTGACACAACTGAGCTAGAATTACCTGTGGTGAAATCATTTGCTGGGGCATCATCTGTTCATGTTGTAACATCATTTGCTGCTGTGGTGACCTCATTTGCGGTGGCATCATCTGTTCACGTTGTAACATCATCTGCTGCTGTGGTGACATCATTTGCGGTGGCGCCATCTGTTCTTCTTGTAACATCATCTGTTGCTGTTGTAACATAATTTGCTGTTGTGGTGACATCATTTGCTGTGGCATCATCTGTTCTTCTTGTAACATCATCTGTTCTTGTTGTAACATCATTTGCTGCTGTGGTGACATCATTTGCTGTGGCATCATTTGCTGTTGTTGGGACATCATTTGCTGTTGTTGGGACATCATTTGCTGGGGCATCATCTGTTCTTCTTGTAACATCATCTGTTGCTGTGGTGACATCATCTGTTGCTGTGGTGACATCTGCTGGGGCATCATCATTTGTTCATGAGGAAACATCATCATTTGTTGCTGTGGTGACATTCCCATTTGTTGCTGTATTGACATTTCACCGTATTGACCTTGTGAAAGAGGGATCTGGTCTTCATACTGGATATCTGACATGTCTTCAAATTCTGGATCAGGAGGCAAAGTAGGTGGAGGGTGCAGAGGCACATCTAGACGCTCTTTCCCAAAAAGGCGCACTTGAGGTCTGGGAACTCTAAATGTCAGCTCCCCTCCCTGAACTCCACCAGTGTCATCCCCAAACTGATCAAACTGGTCTGCATACTGGTCCCCATACATGCCTTGTACCTGATCTATTCCTTGCCCTTCATACCCAAAGACCTGCTGGCCTCCTGGTGGGACTCCAAAGGCCTGCTGGGAGCTGTAGTCTTGGTAGGGCACGCCAACATCACTATAACTAAGTTGATAGTCTGGTGGTAATCCTCCTTGCATTTCCATAGTTCCTGCATAAGGGTCCATAAAATAACCTGTTTGTCCATTGTCATAGTAACCCTGTTGTCCCTCACCATAGTAAACTACTTGACCATTTTCATCATAATACCCCTGAGCCTCAGGGTCGATGTATCCATCTACCTCTCCAACATAAACATTGTCTTCCCCCATCAGAGCATAGTAGTCTAGACCCTCGTCACCATACATTGCCATTGCCTGTTGTTGCTGGTTGTTATAATAGCCCTGGGCCGAGGGATAATGGTTATAGTACTGCCCAGTGCCATCATCGTAAATATCATCTTCAAAAAACTCTGCGTTTGCATCATAGAATCCTTCTTCCTCATAGTAACCCAGGTCTTGGTGGTTTGCTACTCCTGCTCCATTGTCAGAGTAACCAAACTGACCCTGGTCTCCATATGCTGCCTCATCTCCATAACCAGCATAACCTTCATCATAGCCTCCATACTTCTGGCGGACTGAATGGTGCTGGTCGTATCCATAAGCATCCTCCTCGTACTCATAACCACCATTGTGGTTACCATGAAGACGACCTCTGGAGCTAGCTTGTCTGGTATGTGTTCTACGTCCCCCATGGCCATGTTGTCCGGCATCGTCCTGCATTTTAGTGGACAGGAAGCGTTTGGTCAACCAGTTAGTTGCTGCTGCAACCTTACCAAGCAACCCGCTGCCATTCTTAAAGTCGTCAGAGGGCCCGTCACCTTTATTTTTTCTAAATAAGTTTTTGAAGAAGCCCTTCTTATCATTTTCTTTCCCTCCTCCCAGACGCAGCAGCATATAGGTGGGCTTGTTCCCATCGTTTTCCATCGTTTTTTTCTCCTTCTCCTTTTTCCTATTTTTGCTGGCTTTAAACCTCATCATGAATCGAGAGGTGTTCTTCAGCATGGACTTGCGGCGTTTCTTCTTAGCCATGCGTTTCTTTCTCTTACCCAACCCAAGGAACAAACGTGATGTGCTTTTCAGCTTCTTCCTGCTGTTCCTGCGTCTCTTAATGCCGTAAAACTTCATGAACATCCTTGACATGTTTTTTAGACCTTTTTTTGGGAGTTCCTTAATCGGAATCGGCGGGGTTTCCTCTTTCTTTTTGCCTTTCTTCATTTTGGCATCGGCATCAGATTTCCCTCCTTTGTGGTGGTCTTTAGATTTCTTTTTCGATTTGCCATAGTTCTCTTCGTCGTATTCATCCTCCTCTTCTTCATCCTCCTCATAATCCTCTTCTGAGTCGCCATGTCTGGACTTCCCCCCTTTCTTTCCCTTAGCCCCCTTGCCTCCTCGCCCCTTTCCTCTCCTGTCATCTTCTGAGTCTTCCTCTTCCTCATCTTCACTGAACTCTTCATCCTCCTCACTCAGGAGCTCCTCCTCTTCCTCCTCGGACTCCACTTTCTTACCTTTCCCTTTTCCTTTCTTTCCATCATCTTTCCCCTTGGGTGGCTCTTCCTTTCCCTTCTTACCCCCTTTCTTATCATCTTTCCCAGCCTTCTTATCATCCTTTCCGCCTTTCTTATCATCCTTGCTGGGTTTCTTTTCATCTTTTCCTCCCTTCTTGTCTTCCTTCGCTTTCTTTTCCTCCTCTTTCTTTTCCTTCTTTGCGTCCTTCTTTGAATCCTTCTTGGGCATTTTCAAAAGTGGCTATGAGCATACCATGCCCTCGCCTCTGGTTGCAATGCTGTAAACCTTTAAACAAACACACACATATTACATGTACACTTTATGCAAAGCAATGCTGTATTTTAAGTTGGAAATTAAATAAATATGATGTGATATTTAAAGAAAAATATAATCATGAGTCTGACCTTCAAACTTTCCCTTGGTTTAGATATGTCTAGTTGACTTTGTGCCAGCACTATATGCAGGTTCTGTTTGAGGACAGGTCCACCTGGCCGAAGCAGTTCTACACTGCCCAAATCTGGTCCCCATGAAGGCTCCTGTCCAGACATAAGTAAATGTCAACAATATGTATCCCACACAGACACAGTGATATTAACTAAAACTTTAGCATAGACTCAATGAAAACCAGTAGTTAAGGGTGTGTTTGTAAATCCAATCTTACACTTTACACAAAAATGACCGGGCTGTACTTTGAAGAAATAGATTGTTTTATACTTGGTTTAAAAATGTAGACCCAAAAATTAGTAATTATTGAGTGTTGAATTATTAAATTAAATTTGCTCAATACTTTGCGTTTTGCTATCTTTCCTGCCATTTAAGATGTTCATCACATATTATATGCGCTTGGGGTGTTGAATAACTAAACAGTATTTCAACAGTGCTCTGAATTTACGAATGGGCCAGTGTGTGCAAGAAACTGCTCTGATGCTCGGAGTGACTATTTACGCAAGCACCCTAAATAAACGCTCAGTTATTGGCACCACACACAGTTCAGTGGTGTCTTAATCTGCTACATATACAATCCTTATCAATCTCTAACCATCATGTCCAACTCTTTTCTAGGCTTTAAGGTCAAAAGGGTTTAATAAGTCAGAACACCTTCTATAAATCTAATTATTTGTATGTAAGCATTTCATTAACTGTATTATAAAGCTTAGCCTCACATGTCTTACAAAATACTACATTTACTTTGTTGATTTTACTAGGTTCCACACAGTATGATCCCTGCAGCAATATACAAATATTAAAACCACACAAGCTACACCATCTTTATGATCAAGTGTTTCTCTTGAAGTTGTAGTAAAAGACAAACTCTTGTGGCAATGTTGCAACTCTCATTCACCAGGACAGCTTTCCATCATAGTCACCTCCTCATTCAATGACAAACATAACAGTTGAGCAAGTTTGGTGGTTGGCAGAATCTCTGCAGTCTTCAAAGTTGTAACATCCTTGCAGAAGGACTCTTCTTTAGCCGGTTAAAAAAAAAAACAGAATACAAAAAAAACTCCTGGTCAAAGTCTTTAGGTCACACTCAGCTATTTCTTTTGACCTACTCCGTCCTCTGTTGCTCACTACAACACATTCCCTCACTCAACACAGTACTCTGTTCACACTGCCCTCCTCAGAGTGTGTGACAGCTAGTGTGTGTGTTGGAGTAAGTTTGTGTGTGTGTGTGAGAGGGAAAGAAAGAAGGGCAGATGGGTTTCCTGTTTGTGTGTAAGTATGTGCGTTTTCATGTGCCTATATGTGTATGTGTTTGAGTGCAATTGAGGAGATCCTTGTGACGGGTCGTAGAAGGAGTCTTAATTTGTCATCTGGCTCTACAGGTGAAACTGGAGAGCTCTGAGCGGCTGAGGGGGCGGGGCATAAATAATACAAAAGGTAGAGAGAGACAGACAGACATGGGATGCAAAAGAAAAGAGTGAATGGCAGTAAGATGTCATCAAATCTGCAAATATCCAAGACTTAACAACCTCTACTTTCTGTATAATCTACATGTTGCATACACTCATGCATCACAGAATTTAGAAAACTTAATCTAACCTTTAATCTACCCCTTTTTTTCAGAGTAACATACTTTAAGGTGTATGTTTGTATATATGTGTATGATCATAATTAAGAGATGTAATAATTCTAACACATATTACATTTAAAACTGCACCATTATGAGCAATGCAGGCAGCCACCAACCAATTTCCACATACGTAACAGGACAGGAGCAGAGGCAGCAGAAACACCCACTTGTATTGTAGATATTTATGACGTCTTATTCTTCTGGGTATCAATTACACAGGAGAACTCTCTCAAACACACAAACAGAGCCAGTGAGGGATCAGTAACAGGGCTGTGATTATTAGTGCCATCAACCAAATTATTCCTCTTCCACAGGGAAGGGGTCGGATTGCCAGATCTGTCCTGTTACAGTGTAGAGGTGTTGGGTTGCCAGATCCTGATCTTTTGGTCTCGGTGTGTAAGTCTATCTGATCATTACCAACCAGCAAAGAGCACACGTAGTGTATGTGTGTGCATGTGCGCACACAGTGTGCTTATGCAGAGTTATGTCTTTGAGTGGGTGCATATATGCATTAAAAAGACGGAGAGTGTGATGAAAGAACGTTTTTTCCTGGATTTCCCACGGTTTGTCTCTAACAGTACATCTGCCTTTGAAGCATAATGAAAAGACCCTATCAAAAGTGAAAAGCTCTGAGTAGCAGCAGTCTCCCTCTTCCCAAAGCAATCGCTGCTGGCAGGTGGTCATCCATCTTTTGATAGAATTTGTAGAGATTAGACAACACAGAGAAACTGGGATACATGCCTGGGAGAGAAAAGCAGATCTATGACAGAAGTGGACTTGATGAGGCTCATCAAAAGCATTCAGGTCCTGAGGGGGAGCAGGAGACCATCTTTGTCACACACACACACACACACACACACACACACACACACACACACACACACACACACACACACACACACACACACACACACACACACACACACACACACACACACACACACACACACACACACACACACACACACACACACACACACACAGCAATCTGCTGCTATCTAGTGGACCAGCATTACACCTGCAGCACTCCTAATGTTAGTTTGGAGTTGAGGTAAGTTTACAGGCCTGCAGCAAGTGTTAGGCTTGCTCAACACATGCTACATAAGCATTTTCCATTGCTTTTAATAATGTAATCTTCTTGTAATTACTTGAGAGGAGATACACAACTCTAGGATCTATATTGCTAGAGACGAGTAGATAAACCAAAGTGTGCAGGCAAACGGATTGACAGTTTATGTGTGGACCACAAGGGCTGGAGGAGGAAAGCGTGCATCTTACCTTTCCACCAGCACACCCAGACCGGAGCTCCGTAGTCACGTTTCCCCATCCTCAGTTGATCCAAAAGGAAACGATGAAAAAAAAATCAAAAAACTAAAACAAATCCCGTTTACATGTTGGTAATCTTGACATCGTTCCTCACTACTGCTCTGGCGGGGCTCAGAGCAGCAGGGGTCTGTCAGTGGAGAGGAAAAGTGTGCCACCGGGAACGGAGGATGAATATTTAACGACCGCTATTCTTCGGAGGCCGGCCGGGGGCTTGAGTTCCACACACTCCGGTGAGAACTGACGAGCACCGCGGGTGGGCAGTGTCATGTAGGCTACGTAGTAGTAAACAAACAAGGTGTTCAAAGTTTAGGAAAATTACGTTAATTGTTATGTTTTTGAACACATTTAAGCTAAACGTTTTGTCTTCCAAACTGCCTAAAGGTCGAATGATAGCCTGGCTTAATTCGGTTATCAACAGAGGAAATAGCATATTTACGCGTAGCCTATGTAAGGTTTTTCAACCACTACCCAATGTCGGGAGGGCCGTATTATTACGATTTGGGAAAGGTACGTTAACTTTCATTCGGACTGAACACAATGGAGAACGTGTGCAATGAGACGGTTTAAGAAATTAACAGTTCACGCTAAAACGATGAGAGAGCTTCGAAAATGTTAATTTACTGTAGCAATCCTTCCGCTGCCCGCCAGATGGACCCGCCTGCCAACAAACAAACAGCACTGATCTGCTGCATCTCCACTGGATTCACCCAGACGACCTTGCCGTCTCCCCCACATGACAGACCGGCTGACGGTATCAAAACAGGTTAAGGCCTTTGATATTGAACCAACTGTGGAGAGCCACAATGCAACACTGTTTTCGCTGTGTGTTTTTTGTTTAGAAAAACAAGCCTTTGGCTAGGTTTGAGCTATTTTTAGTGTTCTGGCTGAAACTATGATTTACATAGACTTCAAGCATTAGGCACATTTGCAATGTTAGCCTATATCGTTTTCATGAGATTCTGCAGCTGGCAGCCAAAGTCCCGGTCAGTGCAGGCAGCTCTCCAACCTGACAGCTTGTTTTCTTTCTTTTTTTACGAAAACCAGGTCACTGCTTTTATTTTCTCTACCCACTGACTGCAACAAAATCAATTACTAGGCTACTTTAACAGCTACTTGAAAAATACAGCTGCTGTTATGCAATTAAATAAACCAAAACTCTCTCTTTTAGTCAAACCATACATTAGAATAAATCAGTGATTCCCAATCTCAGGGTCAAAACTTTCTTAAGGGCTTTTGAGAAGATAGTGCTCAAAAACGTTTCCTCTAGTCTAGAGACTAAGATCACTGCATCAATTTACTGCACTACTGTCTTTAGTTGACCTCAACTTGTCACAACTAAAAATATGCAACCTGACAAAGGGTAGCAAATAGATATGGCTTCAATTCAAGGGATGACAAGCCAACAACGTTGAAAACCATTGGATTAATGATAGCCGTTTGTCACTCTGTTTCTTCCTCTGTGGTAGTGTTGTGACTGTAAAGAGCTACAGGGTAGCTATTTCATGCTCTCTGGAAGCAAGCCTTACCTCAATCATTTTGATTTTTTTACCTGGAGTGTCTGTCAGTAATTGTATCCAGCTGACAACAGCTTGCTTAGAGCACAGAAACAGTAAATATATATTATGCTTGGCATGTTCGATGGCCCCTGTCTAGCTCTGGGCTCTGTGAATCATTCAAGGAAAGTAATGGCTTCATCCTGCAGGCACAAGCTACCGTTTTTTGGCCAAACATATTATTCCAGGAGGGTGCTGATGGTTCTTCAAGAAAAATGTTGGAACAGGTGTTCTGAATAGACCTGCAGTGTTATGTCAGTGAAGAGAAATGTCAGGGATAATTTGGAAACAAATAGTGAAATGTGAGTGGCCTAAACTTGCAAAACAACAAACAATGGCGAGATAGAGGCAGAAAAGTAGACAGCAGGCAACAGATCGTAAGCGGATCATCAACATTATTTTTCTCCTGAAGGAGTCCGCTGAGTCTGGAGCTGAACCAGCTGCTCCGAGACACCCGGTCTCTGCAGCAGGTCAGAAGCTGACTGTAGAAAGATCCCACTGGGACAGAGAGACCTGTGTGTCTTCGTTTGTTTGTTTAAGAGAGCAAGGGATAGAAAATACAAATAGATAGATGGATAGATATAAAAAGAGTGTTGGAAAGATAGAGAAGGCAGCAGGGTACATCCATCCAATTCCACTTAACAGAGGCTCCACCAAGATAGGCCGGATAGTGGTGGATGGTGAGGCTGATGTAAGCCAGAGCCCCGCTGTGTGTCCATCAGTTTAAAATAAGCCCTGCTGCTGAAGTGTCCTTGAGTCACATACTGAACCCTTTCCTGTTCAGGGACTCACTCGACTGCTGTTGCACTACAACTACAGTGGATTTGTTCCTGTCACTAACAACTTTTGTGCATCTGTCTTTTATCCACAGTTCACCGATGTTACAAACACGGGCCTGTCTTGGTGGTTCTTCCGACTTACGTAAGTGTGTTAAGTGAGCTTTAAATCATAATGTGAAAACATCAAGGACTCAACAAATACTCATTTTGTTTCTCAGAGTGTTTAAACACCATGTTGATATCTGCTTCCAAAAGATGTGAATTTTCCATTTTGAGCACTAATATTTCAGACTATCCTGACTCCCGATGAATGCACCACAATGTGCCTATCTTGCGATGTTAAATAAAGTGAAACATAATGTGTGTATTTATGCAAAAAATATTGGGTTCTTCCTTAGCCCGGGCTTTAACCTTCCATCAAGTTTTATAAAAATTGTGCCTGACCAGACAAACACAGACAAAATCGTAAACTCCTTGGTGAAGGTCAAAAGAGCAGGCCTCATTTATAAAGCGATATACGCTCAAAAAATGACGTACGCCAGTTTCTACGCAATGTTTGCGATTTATAAAATACTAACTTGATGGGAAACGTGCGGTCCTCCACGCAAACTCTAACCCATGCGTACGCACTAAGCACAACAACGGGAGAGACGAGAAACTGCGACACCGTTGGCAGAAGGAAGAATGGAGAGAAATATGTGGAAATAATACCATAAATAAAATGTTACCTCTCATTTATCATGAAGAATTCATTTTCAAACATTGATTAAAGCCAATCTTAAAATGATTAAACAAACGCCTGTTTGAGACTCCTCAGTGCACACAAAAACATAACTTGGAGAAATAAATAAATAGCCTACGGATATGTTATTGAAAACCATCTCGAATATGTTGTGTTAATGTTATGAAATGTTTTCTCATAAATGATGCGGTAAGCAGGAGGACAGCATTACTTTAAACTGACGCCGTGTTGCATTTCTATAGGTTGTAGATACGAGCATGGTTTTATACTATCACGTTTAATCGTGTTTGCCAAGACTTGATAAGTCGCTCGTAAAACACAGGAGGTATGGAAGCTAAGAACACCATATGTGGTAAATTGTACAGCTGATATAACACAACACATTAGTTGTATTTCCTTTAACTGGTGGATATAGGGTTGCTGCGGGCGGGGGGGGGGGGGGGGGGGGGGGGTTGAGACGCACAGGCTGCAGTGGAGACGCTGCGCACAGCTGATCGACAGCTGGAACACAAACCACCAAATACAAAAACATAATTCAGATCCAGTCGTCATGACTCCACTCCGGAGGGATTCCCCGATCACTTCTTACAGTCTCTCATCAAGGGGGTGTCTCCTGTCCCCGGTACAAACACACTGCCTGAGGAAGGCTATGTGTATTGTTTTTGTCATTAACCTTTTTCGGGCCATTTATTTATTTATTTTGGTGACGATCCGACCTCCATGCTGCTACTCTGGTTCAAACTGCATCCACCAAACAATATGATTTATCTCCACCTCCCCAAAATAACCCACATCTGACACGGCGTGAGATGTCTTTTTTAACTGTTCTGTCGTCATTTCCTGCGATCTTCTTCATAAAGTCAGTCAGAATGAATGAATGAATGGGCGTTTCTTTGACTATTTATAGGCAAATATGGGCGTTACGTGAAGCCCGCAAAAGCTGCACCGCATTTCGGGTCGGTTGTGATTTATAAAGGGAAACCGGCGTAGGAAGTGCCATACGCACTTTCCTTGCCGGTACGCAATGTTTGGTGAATCGGGAAGTGGCGGAAAATTTATGGACCTATTTTTCGGATTTCTACTACGTAAGTAACCTTCCCACGTGAATCCTACGCACGGCGTTATACATGAGGCCCCTGGTGTGCAAATCAGTGGCCGTCTGTTTGGCCTTGTTCAAAATGGATATTGCACTGGGAAATAAAGATATTGGAAGTTTTCTTTTTGGCCAGAGGTGCTCTGTAGCAACTGCCTAATGGGAGTAGCAGAAAGGAGTAGGTATACGGTGATGTGAAGTGTCCTTAAGTGCTGAAGTTTACTGCATGACTGTAAAGGTCTAAAAGTTGGGTTTGAAGGGATCCAGTGATTTTACTAAATCATTAATGATTCTTGAGAGTTTTTCTTCTCTCTGTGAGTTAGTTGTACCACGATGCAATGCCAGTGACCCATTAACTGCTGTTAAAGGGTCCTGTCTGACATTTGATAACAGTCCGCTCCAAAAAAATGTAACTTAACATATAACGTTTTTTTTAATCAAAATTGTTTAGGGGTTAGTTGCAGAGTGTTGGAGATATGTGAGACTTCTGCCTTCTATTGAACCTACTGGAAGTACAGTACATAATGTGGGGCTCAACGAGCTTAAAAAACAACTCTTACAGATATTGGTTTTGGGTTTTGTATGGGCAGTTTGTATCACCAACTAATAAGACATACAGATACATAAACTAAGCACAAACAGTCAAACACATGAAAAGATACAATGTACAACCGTCATTAGACCACTGCTGTTGCAGAACATATCTTTAAAATATTGTCAAGCTTTTCTAAAAGGGATTTATATTCTAATTTACACATTATTAAATTGCTGCAGGCACCAGGGAATGCATGAAATGATGAGTCATTTTTTCTTGACAATGAGCACCAGGAACATA